GGCTGGGCCGAGATTGGTTTAAAAACAAGAAACTTTTCGTTACCAGCAGTTGCCACAAATTGGGGTCTGGTGTCAGCCTCTACGAATGACCAGTCAGCTTGTTCGATTCGTCGGAACTTGTAGAAACGAAAGCTACGCTGTGGTGTGTTTCAAGGGACGTCTGGAACCAGTCTCAGGAATTCTATCGTGAATAGCTGCCCGATGACAGGCCAAAACAGGAACACGAAGAGGAAATAAGAGGTTGATAGCTCTGTTTCGCCTTGGCGACCGAAGTTCTCAGACTGGACCCGACGACGCAGGCAGACCTGAGAATGAGGCAGGAATCATACGTCTCGCCCCTTTGGAAGAAATTCTTCGTTCTCTAACATCTGTGAGACCATATGGACAACAGCGAATGTATATATCTTGAGAATTGCCGGCAGAGTTTGATGTGATGCCTTCCCGTATAAAGCCAAGCTTCGTCAGCACGTCTACCCATCAACGCCAGTGTAGACTTCTCTGCTCTCTGAGCTATAGAGCCGTTCTGATGACTGGTACATTTACGATTTGTAATACCATTGGGATTGGCGGCTTGGGACTTCGAGCTGCCGAGGAACACTGGTTGATGTTATCCATCCTTTCTTTGGGGGTATTCATATATGAATCTGAGGTCGATGACAAGGTGGACTAGATATGAAACGCCCTTGACATAATTAAGTATGCAACCTCGGGCTTACGGCGAGACGTTCGAAATCCCTTGAGAGCTTGCAGACAACTGGGAAGCTAGACTGTTGTGGTGCGAAATATCTGCGGTGCGAAACTTCTCGTTAATCATTTCCATAGATATATGTAGATTACCTAAATATGAAAGCGTGATTGAACAGCACTGGGATTTGTGGAGCTTAAGGCTGAATGTTTGTCTGATGGAAGCTTCATTGAGCTGTGAATCGTTCACTTATCTAGAAAACCCACCGGCCCCGTATATAAAAACCAGCTGCTTTGCGTCTGCTTCGCGTCCTTCCTCAACAATGAGTCTCAAACACAGTCCCATGATTCATGTAAACCCACTCTCAGACGGATTCAAGTATTTTGATAGCATGCCATATTGTTTTGACTATCCTAAATGACAATTGGGTACAATTAGCCCGAGACCATAGAAGATGAAGGAGAGAGATAAATGATGGTTTCAAGGGTCGGTTTCCCAACCAGATCACTCCCATTGATGCCTCTTTTCTTCTGCGTTAGATAGAAGTAATCATCAATGCAAGTCAAAGGTGGCGAAAGCTTCAATTGGTGTGGCGTAAAATCTGACCATTCAGCGTATAGAACTCTTTCTATAGGTACCTAAGCCGGGCAAAGATAGCTACCGGACTTGCGACGTGCAAGGAACCTACCAATTCGTGTTGGCCTGTGTTACGACCACGAACTTCAGGCTCACCTTGAAATAGAGCAAAGATGAGGTCGTACCAGATGATTGCAGCCACCACAATGGGCGCGCGATGTGCTTGAAATCCCACAGTTAGGTTTCTGCCATGTGGAACCATGTGGAAGCTCTGGCTGAGGCGCTCCGTCAACATATCCATGGAAGGATTATGATGTGACACGGGCGACGCCAGTTCATCATCGTCCTGTGTCCCTCGTCGATTCATCAGAGTCTAGTTGTATGAATAGGCAGACATTGAAAATCCACTGACAATCCTTCCCCTGAAACCAACAACTGTTTTCGGGAATTCTGTACGGCATCAAGGGCCCTGTGGCAACTCTATGGTTTATTCACCAGCAGAAGCGAGAAGCATCAACACATTCAGACATGTCATTGGTGTGTGCCTCTCTCCACCGCGAGAAGAGAACTAGTATGATGTGCCTTTTATCGTTGGTCAGTATGTTATGGACGAGGCAACGCGTCGAAGAAATCTAATTTAGCGATGGATGGCACTGAGAAGTAATGAAGTAGACTTCATTTGACGTTAACGCCTGCCTGTCTTCAAGGCGAGAAGGATTTACAACAGCACGTCAAGTAAAAGCTGACTGCGTGTTCTACACTAAAGTCCTCAGAGGATGGAACGAATAGTGGCGCCGTCAAGGGCGAGACTTGAGGCCTTAGACTTCCTCAATTTCTGCGTATAAACCGCCTGAGAAGACCAAACAGTTCTAGAGAGGTACTTGGTGATTAGTATTCCAAGTATCCGCATAGACTTTGGCGGTATGAACGAGGAGGTTGGGTCCATCCGTTCCGTGAGAGAGACCTACAAGTTCTTTGGAGTAATCAGGATTCTATGCCCAGACACCCAACAACACACGATACACTAACATAGGATGTCTGCGCTTGCTTTTTTCCGTCGGTCATCTGAGAGTTGTTATTTGCGAATCAGCTTGAAGAAACAAGCGTGCTTGCCGTTTCCCGCGTGAGCTTGCTACCGCCTCGGCTCGAAATGTACGTAATGTTATGGGATGAGGTAAGAATCCTCAAGCTCACAGCAGACACATCATACCCTCAAGGACATTTGCTGTGGAAACGAAATCCGTTGTCAGCGCTCAAGTGACCAGTTTATATTCATCAGACCCGATCCTGACTCAACAGGCTGAGGTGGCGCTGCGGCAGACGGAGCAGCTGCAAGTAGATAGAGTCAAAGCTAATCTTCTCATGTTGGCAAATGTGTTGGTGTAATGATGTGAGCTCATACACTATTTCGCTCAACCGGTACAAAGAAATAAAATTTGTGTAGCATGACCCCAGAAAAAGAGTGTAGACTTGAACATGCCCTGAGATTATATATATCAACACGTTTCTGCATCTAGAGACTCCTCTATAAGAAAATTTGCTGTTACCCAGCGTGTCACTGGTCTCTGAGAAACAGAGAGATTCAAGCAATCTCCTAAGGCAAGACAAGTTACCCTCCATATCCAGACACGGTTCAGTTCATGGAGCTCCATCAAACTAAGGACACAATGAATAAGAAAGGATACTCCAACTCCTTAGGGGACGGACGGTGAAGATCCAGAACAACTTGCTGCCTTAAAACCCAGACACTACCTGAAGGTGCCAATCGGTGTAGTAAAGGCATGAATGTAGAGGAGCGGGCTAACGAGTATTGCCTGTAGTGACACCAGCCGTCTGCATAAGGTATGTGATCCTTGAAGTAACCAGCTTCTTTGATAACAGTGCAGCATTGACGGCCCATTTATAAAGCTTCTGATGCTGAATGCTACTGCCTGCATGTGCTAAATGAGGAGCTCTCCGGCGGTAGACTAGATTCTGCTATCCTCAAAGCCACTGCACTACAATGAGATCCTTCATCCAAGAACCGTTCATCAAGCCCGAATGTGCCATGCAGCTGATTTCTGCGTATTCTTCTTTGAGTATGGGCATAAAACTGCATAACATCGCGCAAGACGGACAACAGGAGATGTACCAGCTCAAGCCTTTAGTTGAGCATTCTGATCTACGTCAAGGGATTACGTTCACCACAGAGAGTAATGCTTGTACTATGACTCTATAATGAAAGAGAAAATCATGAGCAGGGCTTTTATTACTATTCAAAGAAGTGCATCTGCTTCAGTTTCATCTACTTCTGTATATACCTCCAACTAACTTTTGTGTTCCAATCATCCAAACTGACCTAACAGACATCCACCACCCCACCATATGCTAACAGATGTCGTAAAGTCCTGGCTATATAAGAAAGGACGAGATAATGCTGACGCACTGATTCAAAACAAGGAAGAATGTACCTGTATCCTGGGTTTGGGAGATGTGGCCTGATAAAACCCGTCTCCAGCCAGATCAGAGTGGAATTCCAAGGACACAAACACATTCTGTCGACACCTGCGTCTTTGGTTTTTGATGATTAGCCTCTGATTAATCTTTGACCGGCGAGGAAGACGGACGTCAAGTTTTGACGTCGGGTGACTAGTCATCATCCATTACCCAGCTTATCCCAAATACTCTTGTCGAGGCCCGTCGGATCTCTGCTGGTGCCAGAAGCATCGTGCAGTCGTGGCACATTTTCGCCTTGCTGGAGGATCACTGTATCGGTGGGACTTTGGGCCTTTTATCTTGGGCTGCAGACAGGAAAAGCCTCGTTGGTATCGTTATATTGGAAAGCCGATGTTCTTTAGCGAACGATATGCCAAGAACCTGACTCTGTTCTGACATCGAAGCCGGCCAATTGACGATCATGTCACAGGCCAGAAACCAATATTAGCAGGATGAGACACCAAGTATTCACATCGATTGATATCATTTCATTTTCCTGACTCGGGGTATTTCCTGAATATTAAGAGCCGACATTCCCAAGACCTCGTAACCGGTACTCAAAACCCTAAGGCTGTCCTGCCTTGTAAGCCCTGACATAGTCCCCGGCCCTCGAACGCCGTGCTCAGTTGTTCATAGTAAAGTAGTAAGGCTCCTCTAACTCCATGCATGCCTCTTCTGAGAAAGCAGGGTATCCAATGATCTGCTTCGTGTATCGTGCTCTAGCGTAGCGCAAATATCAAAACTTTTTTTGGTTTGTGTAATGTGCTGATATATATCCGTGGGTCATCCCACCGGATGCCGAGGACTCTGTATATCCTCGGAAATGGGGTCTCGTGGGTGGTGAGGGCCGGACGGACATGCAAATAGCAATGCGTTTTCCGGCTGGGCGGTTGAGGCAGATGATAATGGCTTCATCCAAGCCCTGTAGCAGACCCCAAAGAGATCCGCGTATTCCTCCCAAGCCACCGCAAGCCCAGCGAGAATTTCCGCGCGCGTGGCCGAGGGGGCGGGCGGGGGCGTGGCGTGGCGTTCGTCGCACATCGACACGTCCGCCCGTCGTCTCATCCGAAAAGCCTCAACCCCGCGTCCGACCGTCGCCGGGGTCCATCAGCTCGAGCGCGCAACGCAACGCCGTCGTTCGAATCGTCAGGATCCACACATCACGTTATACGTGCAGCGATCGGAGTCCGTGATTCTTTTTTGTATGTGTTTGCTGTCCCTGTCAGCCCCTCCGTGCGGTTCTGACATTCGCGTGATTGTCCGTTCACTTGGTGCCCAAATCGGGAAACCCGCTCGCCTGCAACACGTCGTCCTGTTGCCACCCCGACCCGATCTTCGCTACCGATGCCGGCAGAGTCGGGTCCTGTTCGCAGTTCGTCCCGTCCCAAATGCGCGTGCTGAAGCCGCCTGCCCAGGGCGCCGAGATGTCGGGCAGCGCAAGGGGCTTGCCGGGGTGCGAGAAGCCCTTCTGCGAGGAGTCGTCATCTTCGTCGTCATCGGAGTCGTCTATCAGGATCTGGGAGTTGAAGATTTCCAGGTCTGGCGGCGGCTGCTGGGAGCTGCTCGTCGCTGCGGGGACGGTCGGGTTGGCGGTGCTGCCGCCCGGGGGCACGCGCTCGATCTCCACCACGACCTCTCGAGTCCTATAGATTGCCATCTTAGGCTGTTGGCCGCCTTCCAGGTCGGCAGTTCCGATGGATTCTCGCCGGGAGCCGGGGGCGGTGCTGACTGCTGCGGTGTTGGTGCCGCGGGTTAGGTTGGAATTGAGTTCGATGGGATTTGCTGGGCGACCAGCTGGTGTGTTGCGGTTGTAGTTTGGTAGTTGGAGGGAGTACTCTGAAGGGTGCCATGAGTTGCGGTCGCCGTTCCAGTCTGCGGCGGAGAGAATGCCCATGTCACGTTTGCGGGCGACCTTGCCAATGAGTTCGGCCATTGACATTTCGATTTTGAGTTTGACCATGTAGGCCAAGGGGTGGAATTGCATGTAGCTGGGTGATATTAGGATCATGAAAGCACGAAAGAATGGCAGTCAGACGCCGGTGACTGAATGCACTTACACGAAGGTGTTGTTCAGACTCATCATGGCAATGATGAGCACATCCATGCTCAGCGAGAACCCGATAATGAACATGTTGAACCTGGTCAAACGCTTATACTTGGTCAAGCCGTGCATGACCAAGTTCTTCTGCACGATGCGGACGAAGTAGATGTTGAGCGCGCCGTCGACGATGAGGTAGATGACCTTCTCGCAGCGGTCCCACCAGTCGTTGATCTCGACATAGCGATCCGAGACCTGCAGGCGGGCCGGGATCCAGATGTTGTAGACGGAGATGTTGATCGCGGTGATGAGGACCGCCACGCCGACCTTGACGCGCCATGCCAATTTCCTATTGGTGAGGAGAATTGCGCAGCGGTTGATGATGATTTGAAGTAAGAACTGGACTTGCAGTGCCCATGTTGTCAAGATGGTGAAGTAGAACGCAAAGCTAGAGACGCGCCATGTTTAGTATCTGCTGCGCCGGGCGGGCATGTTCAAAAGTTGGCCTACCTTGGAGGAATGATGCCCTTGAGATGCAACCAGCAGATGACGCTGAATATCGAGCACACCAGGATCTCTAGCCAAATCATCCAAATGTACGGATTGCGCAGGATGCGGTCGCCCTGCCGCCTGTACATCGCCGTAGTCTGCCGGACCGCCGTCCACGTCGTGAGCCAGCCGAACCCGAGGGTGAAGCCCCAGGCCAGCGAGGCGATGACCATGTCATCTTCGGTGACCTCTTCGAGCTTGAACTGCGGGGAGAGGAGATTGCTCATGATGAACCAGCCAGGACATCATAGCAGGTGTGCCTGAACATCCAACAATTGAATTGATATATGGGGGGTTTCCTTAATCCATGAGATGAAGATGCTTCATTCCAAACAACAACGAATCAAAGTTAGCAAACTTGAGAATTATCAGCAAAACGAAAGAAATTGTCTTCGGAGGAAAGACTATGATGTTTTGTTGTTGTTGTTGTTGTTGTGTGGAAAGGGGTTAAGTGAGAAAAGAGTGAGGCGAACACACACACCAGACCATTTACTTACAAGTGGCATGGTCCACGACGTCATCCGCAAGACCCGACCTGGACAAAATGCCTCGGGTCTTCCGATCTCTATGGGCAAAGAGAAAAAAAAATTGCGATTGGGGGGCACACAAATCGAAATCCGAGAACGCAGGAAGCGCGAGCACGGGAGAAGGGACGGGGTAACAGAGTGCCTGATGCGCAGGCAGGACTCGCAGGTGCTTTTGAGGTAGACTCTTGGCTAGAGAGGATTAGCGTTGCGGCGGTTGGACCTTTCGAACGTCGCGTTTCATAGAACGAGTCATGGCACGGGCACACACTCTCAGTCACACACACAGCACACACACACACCATTCGAACGGTGCGGATGGCGTTCGCCGTTCTGCTGGTGGTGGCTCTAATCCAGCCCGCCATTCCAGCAGCTGCAGCGTAGCGCCGCGCTAGTCTTGGAAAACCTGGTTTCTTTTCTTCGCGCAGAAGGAATTTCCAGCCTTCTGCCGCAAGTTCCAACTCCACACTGGAAGCAAACGGCGGCTTCATCCTTACTGCAGCGAGGCCAGGACGGGTTAGGCGATGCCAACGATGCGTGCTTGTCCTGTAGCTCCGGCTAGCCCGACGGGAGATGAAGATGAGAGGAAGGTTTGACCGTTTGGCCTAGAGGAGCGACACAAAGATACGTCTCTCCTTTTTAGCCTCAGGGTATTCCCCCTAACAACGACAATAAAGCGAGGCATGTGAGAAATTGGTGCCAAAATAATCCAGGGTGCCCCTTTTCTTCATTCATAGCAAGATGGCCCATGCTTGATGGTGCACAACGTGGAGGAGCAGAACTCTGCCGATTCTTTTCCCTGAGGGTATCCAAAAGGCAAAGATTGAACGACATGGAAGAAGAGGAGAGAGGAAAACAGACATACCCCGGCAAGATCGGCCGTGTGGTGGGAAGCGGTGAGGGTGCCGCGGGGGAGAGCGATGTGCGCAGCGCCCAGGCTGGCAATGTGTCAACGCCCGCCAAAAGTCTCTCGTATGCGGCATTAGGGCAATTCCCCAATAAGCTTTTTCGGCCATGAAGACTTCGGATTCGTAGGAAATGGTCTTGGGCAGAAAGGCTTGGCGTCTAATCCCAGACTAGAATCGCGCCGCTCGGGGACTTCCCCCCTTCCAATGACACCAATCGACGTAGCCAGGGCAAGAGAGAGAATACCTTGGCAACCAACTTGGTTGTTGTCCCCCATCTAACCCCGGAGAGGATATGTAATATTACCAGCGACTCGGTATATCGCACTTTGGAAAGAGGCGAGAAGACAACAGTCAGTCACTCCGGGATCGCCCCAAGCCGGCCCCTCCCGGAACATAGTCCGCAGCCAACAGAGTTTCGTGAGCACGTGGCACGTGCGTCCAAGAGGGTGGGAGAGAGGTCCGCAGTAATTTGCAGAGACACAAGTCTAGATCTGCTGCTTGGAAGAAGCCTGGGGATGGCGGAGGTGAGTGGGAGTCCTTCCGGCTATATTCCGAGATCTTAATTGCATGGTATCCATAAGCTTCGTGTGAAACGTCGGCCAAGAATGGGGTCGACGGACCGTCCCTGATGAATTGTCTATCTTCATCGATCTGAAAAACGACTTTCCCGGAGGAAAAGAGCAAACTGTGTGCTACACCTTTGTCAGATCTGCGTTCGTGAACTAGATGGCGATCAATCGCTTGCCAGATCGTCGCGAAACCGCAGTGTGGTGCGCCTCATCTCACATACGAAGCATTGGTGCGTAAGGAAATGCCTATTTTCAGGACAACTTTGAGATGCGTGGCTGGCTCAGCCCGAGTCTAGGCCACGGAATCCGTGCGCTCACAGTAGACGCCGACTCCTTGTGTCAGTCCCTTCGAGTCGTGGGTATGCAGTTTTGCTCGCGACAGGCAGATCGGATGGCGCTTCTTTGTTGCCTGCAGCAAGCTCTTTGGGCAGCACTTTCCGACGGATAGCACACAAGCGAATATGTGATCAAACGCGCGTTTCCTCGGCAGTCACCTCGTGCCTTGCTGAGGTCCTAGGGTGCCGATATGTTGACGTCGTAACGTAAGCGTGTTCTGGAAGCGTTCCATCTAGATACGTAGCTCAGGAACAACCTCTCCCTGACCAGAGGTGCAGAATACTCGGTGGAATTAGTGATACATCAAGCGTTCTTCGTAAGTAATCTTCATGCCTGGCAAGCGAGCCGCTTGCTGCTTTCGTCAGTGAAGCCGTATGAGTCGCGCGCCGCGATATCCCACAGCCTGCAGCTGGAGATCTATCGGTTTGACGATGTGAACAACCGCTTGAGTCATCGACTTTCCGGAACGAGCGAGCGTGTTCCAACGACGGCCGGTTGACGATGCGGCAATCGAGCGCGGCTAGTTCTTGAAGAAGCCTCGGCTCAGAAACATGGGAATGCTGAGTGTTGAGGCTTTACCGACGGCGCTTTCGCCGGCAGCCACCCGCGAACAGATTGCCCCTGACCAGTACGGGCGGCCCGCAACTCTTTCTCGAGCACCAGGTTTCACGATGATGGCTAGCTCTACATCGCGCCCTTTTGGCCCAGGACGTGCCGCCGCGCTTCGGGTCCGAACGCAGCTGAGGTGAGCAGAAAATTTCCGTTGACAGGCTTAGACAGGCGGAGTTTGCAGCGAGACGTGGGTGAATTCTCATAGGTGCAGCGTGCAGTAGAATGCCGGGTTCTTGGTGTGTGGCAATAGTAGCGCGTCCAAGACCATCTTTCGATCAAGCTTCGATGTGGAGAAGACGGATATCGGGCGATACTTCGGTGTCTGCTGGTCGAGAGGGTGGTGAGCTTTGTCCCCCCTCCTCCCGCCGGCGTTGACATTTCTTCTGCCCAACATTCCTCGCAAACCTTCCAATCCAGAGGAAGCTTCGAAAGCTTGTAGCGTCTTGCTGTCGGCATGCTGCAGGCCATCCCTCAGCATCTGCACAGAACGAGTCATTTGACCGAACTCACCACTAGACTGCCCAGGACATAGCGTTTAGCAGCTCAACAGTCTAGATCAGACGGACGCGATGTCCAGAAGGTTTTCAGGGCTTCGAAATCTCTGATAGACCTCGGCGACCGCGGCGACTGCTGCGCCATCCCCTTGGGAGAGCTTGTCGGGGTGCGTTCCGAACCGCGAAGGTCCAAATCCCGCGGGAACCCATGCTGGTGATTTTGAGTATTCTGCCCGCAGTCGGCCCCAGAAGTATGTGCCTAGATCAATAGCAGCAATGCCAAATCTCAAGTTAGTGCGGTTGCTGCGTATGTCTTCCCTGCACATCCGTTATTTCCGGAGAAACTGCGAGAGATTGCAACGCAGATACAGATGTCGATGCACGCATGTCGTTGGATGACACGAATGGAGATGAGATTGGCTCAAAGGAACATGTGGTATTGCTGCAGCGAAGCGACAGCGACGTCACGTGACCGGAGTCGCGCCAAACGCGACGTTCCGTCGTCACTTTCAACTCTTCTCCGCCGCCAGAACACTCGGCGGTGCTTCGGAGTGCACATCAGCTCAGTTGGGCTTTGACGCTCATGTTCCATCCCATCACGTCCTCGGATGCTAGCTTCGAACAGATGACTCCCTCAAATTATGCCGTATGGCCTATCTCCCACATTACGTACGACGAGCTTCAAAACACATGCCTATGTACATCAGCGTCCAGTCAAGATGATCAGCTGCAAATACCATAGCCAGATTGGCAGCCTTCGCCGCAGTGCAACGCCGATTTGCCGCAGAATCCCCATTGGCTGCAGCATTGGTAGTCACCGTTGCCTCTGCAGGTCGATCCTCCCGCACCGCAAGAACCATCGGTAGATACGGGCAGTCCCGACACGCTATCGGTGCCGACATTGCCAGTACCACAAGTGCCGAATTCTGACTGACAGCCAGTTCCGCAATAATCTAGGCCAGATCCGCAATATCCGTACATGCTGCAGCAGTTGCCGGCTCCGCATGATCCCACGTTTACTCCGCAAGCTCCGCCTCCGGGTGATGGGGTGGTGGGCGGATCCGGCGCGGGCGCCGGAGCGGGATTAGGAGTGCTGCCGGTTCCACATGTGCCGAAGTCAGACTGGCATCCCGTTCCGCAGTGGTCCGTCGATGTCCCGCAGTATCCGTACTGGCTACAGCAATATCCAGTGCCGCAGGATCCAATCCCGGCTCCGCATCCTCCCGTGCCAGGGTTCGGCAGCGTTGGACTCTCTGGGTTAGTTGGTGCCGGGTTTGTCTGCATTATCAGTTATCAACTGGCAATTTTTTCTTGGCTCGAACACTTACATCGCAAGTTGTCAATGACGGGTTCACGGCGGCCTCCACCAGCCAGTCTTTCATAGTCGCTTGGAAAGATTTGCCGTTGTAGGGGTTTGCGTCGCCTCTAGTTGCTTCCCAGACAGCAACACCTCCAAAGGATGCCCGGCAGTAGTACGCATCGATCAGGTTTCTAGCCTGCTCGTGTGTAATGTAGTTGCCCTCACTAGCAGCATCCGGTGAAGCTGGCAGGGTGATGTACAACTTGGCAGCGCTACTGGCTGTAGTCGACAGCCACTGAGCCCAAGTGTCGTAGGTGAATCCCGCCTGTTGTGTGGCCTGGCCAGGAGTGTACGACGGGTTGCTAGCCGTCCAAGTTGCCGCCGAGCACGCCGGAGTGTTGTAAAATTGGACAAAAATCATGTCGAACGGAATAGCAGTGATCATGTCACCCATGTTGGCATCGGGGACAATGCACTGAGGTGCACCGGTGAGATAGTACGGTTTCGATGCCGTCGGGAAGAAGGAACGCAAAAGGGTGAGCATCGCAATGTAGCCCTCTGAGTTGTCTATGGGTCGACTGTCAGCCTGCACTCTGTAGGGACAAATACGGGAAAAGGCGATACTTACCAGTTGATGGCCACTCAATGTCCATGTCAAAGCCATCCACTTCAACTGCCTGCCCGGCATTGTCGAACGGACGGGGACCTGTCCAATCAGCGCTCTGGGGACCGAACATCTTCCAGAGGTATGTCGCCAGGACTTCGCCCTCGTTTCTGCCCGTGAGTTGATAGTTCGTTACGCCACCTCCCAAAGAGAGGATGATCTTCTTGCCGTATTGCTGCTGGCACACGGGGATCTGGGCGTTCAGTGTCGGGCAGTTGGACTGCAACTGATCCTTCGAGGGGTCGTTCACACCATTCCATCCGGGACCTGGGTAGACCTCCCCACCGCACCGGTTGCCAAAGTTCGTACCCGGGTAACCGTTTGCTTGCGCCGGGAAGAGGTGGACGAAAGACAGAACGATAACATCAATCTCAGGCTGCTGGCACTGCTCTATCAGGTCGCCCTGATTAGGTCCTTGCCCCTGTATGGGAGTCAGCTTGATAGTTCACTCAATATGGAGTGAAGAGACATACGTAGTAGACAACAACGTTATTTTTCGAATTCGGGTCGAAGCCAGAGCATCGCGAGACCACGCCGCTTAGGAACGTGAGGAAGAGAAGGAAACGCATTGCGAACTGCGGTTTGCGTGGCGCCGGAGAGCAACTAGCAGAGAAATGTGACGAAGATCGCATTTGACGATCCCACAGACCGGCCGGGGTCAGAAGATATCGGAGAAATGCTCGTCAAATAGCAGAAATTTGAAGAAATCGAAGCGTCCGACCCCTCAGTGACACCAAAGAAAAGTAGCCGAGAGGAGGAAGGAAGAAGAAAGAAGGCTCGATGATGAAATCTTTCTCCAGCTCCGCCTTCCTCTCCAGTCGGTCCCTCTTTCTCTAAATACCAAATGGAAGTCGCGCTCCCGCCGCACTTGCCGAGAGGAAAGAGCACCCCTCCATCGCGACTGCACCTTCTCCTGCGGTCCTGGCATTGGCGGCGCAACCTGAGAAAAGAAATGCTGCAGAAATACTTCTCCCTCGACCAGCTAAAACTAGCAGTTTCCAAGATTCTGGGTCTGAGACGACGGCTCTGCCAACTCGACTGTTCCGACCAGCGTGCCCCTCCTCCGGTTTTCCCAGGGCGAGAAAGGCCCCTTGACTCAGCCCGCCACGAAAGCCGACTAAAGGGCGACATCTCTTCGGGAGGTTGGTGTCTTCAGGATCGACGCGTTGGCAGTTTACCAGGAGAATTTCAAGAATCTTGTAATTGAATGCAGTTGGTGTAAGCAATATGAGCCTTTACAAACCGCAATCATTTGGAGTGAATTGTAAGTCAACCGGCCGTGGGTTCGGCGTCGTTGGTGGGGCCATGCCACCGAAACCGCCGAACAGCCCCACCGAACCGCCGACCGAACTTTCCAAACAGCCGGGCCGGATGTGCGCATTAAAAGCCACAGAGTTCCCGGCTGCACTTAGCTTTTCCTCCCTCCTTGTCTCAGTATTTTCTGTAGCATGACAACCATGAGCGACCTTCCCCAAACGATGCGCTCCCTAGTGGCGCTGCAGCATTGCACCCCCGCCGGCTTCGAGGTGGCCGAAGTGCCCCTCCCGACAATAACGAATCCTACGGAGGTAATAATTCGGGTGCATGCCGGAGCAATTATGAAGGGCGATTGCCAACGGGCTGTGGGGTCTCGGATCGTTGCATCGCGGAAAGAGACGTTTGTGCCACCTACCCACTGCGAATCATTTTGATCAAGGAATAACTAAGCATCCTCTAGATTCCCTGTAAAACTCGGATGTGAAGGCGCTGGCATCATCGTTGCAATTGGAACAGAAGTCAAGCGCTTCAAGGTCGGCGATGCAGTCTACGGACATGGCGTCGTCCGCCCTGCCTTCAGCAATCCGGATCCAGGTTTCTGCTCCGAATATGGAATCACACAGGAGAGGCTGCTTCTCCCAAAACCGCCGCAGATAAGCTTTGAAGAAGCTGCCGCACTTCCTGGGTACACCGTGACGGCGTACCAAACCATCAAGCGCGGTCTTGAATTAGCCGGTTGGGAGAGCCTGGAGGGAAAGACCGTGTACGTCCCGGCTGCCTTGAGCGGAGGGGGCTTCAGCGGGATCCAAGTGGCCAAAAACGTGTTCGGTGCAGCGAAAATCATCTCAACAGTCTCAACACCAAAGTTGAAGCTGGTTGAGGAGTATCTTCCCGGGATGGTGGACCAACTTATCGACTACAAGACAACGAGCTTGACGGACGCCGTTCCCAAGGGCAGTGTGGATTTCATGTTCAACACGCAATGGGACAGCATGAACACAGCGATACCCCTTCTGAACCCCAAGACAGGCGTCATCATGTCCATCGCCTCAATTCCCCCATCACCTTTAGTGAGAGAGATCATGGGGCCTGGCATGGTCCCGCTCTGGCTGGCTTGGATGTTGGACCTGGTTCAGTGGTGGTACGCTTTCAAGTTTAGAGGAACGAACATCCAACACGAATTCGTGTCGGGCAACCCAGAGATCAGAGAGGATTTAGAGAGAGCTGGTGAGATGATTGCTACGGGGAAGGTAAAAGCAGTGTTCCGTACGGTGGATCTATCCGACATCGAGTCTATCCGGGAAGAATGCGCCAAGGTCGATACAGGGAAAGGTGGCCTTGGTAGGCTACTGATTAAAGTGAAGGACTGATCCCCGCTTTACTGCCCTGACACCCATCTAGACAAGTCCTTTCACAATAGCGATAGAGCTGGTATAGATGTCCAGCACCCTAGCTTTAATACCATCCTCCGCTCCAGCAGTAATTGAGTCCGCTCTCGCTGTCCAAACAATCTCGGTGTTGTTGTTACCGATGTCACTCAACTCAATCGTGCCCTGGATGTTGACCGCAGGCAAGCCAGGGGCTTCGTAGAGCGTATAAGCCAGGGAGTGTTTGTCAGCATCAACCCAATCCAACCGCTCCTGAGCGAACTGGCCGGCCAGAGTGATGTCTCGGACAGCTCCAGGTCCGAAGCCAGTGAGCTCGTTGAAGGTGACGTTCTTCATGTACAGCTGGGCGGCTCCGAAAGCTGAGTAGATTCCCCAAATGGTTCCGACGGAGGCGTTGAAGGTGTCGGTGACCTGCCCAACGAAGATCTTGGATTCATTGCGAGGGGCCAGGGGAGATGCCGAGACAGCTAAGACTGTTAGTAAATGAGTCTGGATGACTGCCTATGCAGAGAAGACCTACCTCCGCAGAGGAGCGCAAAGGGAACAGCGGTGAGAGAGGTGAACTTCATCTTATGTTGTTGGCTGGTGAGCGAAAGTTCGTTGTCTGTGAACTTACTTCTGGTGATCTCAAACCACATCTATGGCCTCAAGTATTCACCTCTTATACCCCTTTGAAGTGTCTATGATAGTAGACGACATCGACTGTCGGCGCCGAGTTACACTCCAGGCGCCGATGATCCATTTGTCAACGGCCGAAGGACAAAGCGATTTGTCCGAACCTCCAATGCAACCCTTGACGTGAATGAGTTCCCAGCGATCGCTATGGGTCATTCCACAGAGTGCCCCATTTGACGGCGAATCCAAGCATTGAGAGCCGAACTAGTTCATCCCGCCGGCCAGTTTTACGAATCAAGTCCTCCGCCATCTGGGCCGTTCATCTCATCAGATCCTTTGTGCTCTTGGCGTAACTTAATCCATTTTGTTCCTGGATTTTACTGAACCACAATACCTCATGTAGTCTGTTCTAACGGACTTTGGGTGCGCTCAAGTCCCGGCGATCGATGATTCAACTGACAACGGCACTCCGTCGCTGCTGTTCGTCGGAAAAGGGTGAGAGCGTACCGCTGTTGTATTCAAATAAGTCATAATCAACTTAACGATGATGACTATTGATCGTTCCTGAATTTCTTGGGTGGTTTGATTTCGTAAGACTGGCACAGAATAATCCAAGACAGCGACCCTGGTCCGAGCGATCCCGGGGCCGGCGGGCGAGTGGAGACATGTCGGGTCCGGACCCGGCGGGGTTATTGACGCCGGCGGTCAGATACAAGCGATCAAGATGATCAAGATCGAGCCATTGCCCCTCAGATTCCACCGTGTGTGAAACAAGAAACATCCAAGACTAAAAAAAAGTGGCGTTCGTGATGGTGTGCATTTAATTCCAGCGCGACTTCAGCCCTTTCAGCCCTGGTTGAGGAAGCCACTGTGGGCCCATTAAACACCCAGCGGGTCCTGTCGCGACCGCAACGCGAAAGCAGGACGCGCCGCGCCAGGCCTGTCGCACTAGACCATCCAATGCGCATTCCATTTCTTAGCGCCGTGAATCTCACCCACCCTGTCCATCCCAAACATTCCCACAGCCGATAGACACAAACATCGTCAAATCATCTTCACAGTAATTGCGCCGCAGTGTTGACCGATTCCGCCGCTCTTGCCAACATCACACGAACATCTCCATCTTCCAACTCTCCCGAAATCGACACAATGGCTCTCAAGCGCAAGCGCTCCGCCTCCGAGCTCGTCACGCTCTTCAACTCACCCGCCCGCTCCGACTCCAGCGTCGAGTCCTTCGACTTCCCGATTTCTCCCAGCCTGGCCTTTCCCCACGGAATCGCGACGCCATCACATCTTGACAGCCGAACCAGGAAACGGTTCCGCGATAACCGCCCTTCGCAGGAGGAGGTTCATCGTGAGTAGAGTCAATGATATTGTTATCACCAAATCATGCGCTAACGATCGATCGCAACACAGAACGCACACTCCAGATGCTATACTCCGCCCAACAACAAGATCAAAGCATGGAAACCGAGCTTTCATCGTCACCTGCCCCTGCTCCTGCCGTCGCACGCAACACACAAAAGTCTCTCCACAGCTTCTGGAACATCAAGTCCGCGCAACCTCCCGTGTCAAGGATGGCCAGCCCGCCGGTCCACCAGAGAGCGTTAAGCCTCACGAGCTGCGAGGATTGCGGTGCCGACCTTGGCTCAGCGGATGCTGATGGCATGGACATCAACGGATGCGAAAGGGACAACGCCTGCGGCGCGTGTGGGAAGCATGTCTGCTCACAATGCTCTATCACGAACCTTGGAGAGCAGAGAAGGTGTTTACACTGTTCTGGCAGCAAGTCGTGGGTGACAGGGAGCACGCCTGCTTGGGCCACACCATCGATGCGAATGTTTTGAGCGGTTGTTTCTTGGATTCGAGAATGGGCTACTTTGCAAGGCATGGCGTTCTGGATGGGAGGCTGCTCTTGATTCGGCGTTTAGCATATACATCATATGATACCGGGGGATACCACGATTGAAGAAATACAAGACGCATTGCGTTCAACCTCTGGCTCGGCGAGACGGCTCGCAAAAGAGCTTGGCCACCACTCGGCAAGCCCAGTGACCGCGAAATGCAAGGAGCGCACAAGAAAGCCATGCAGGTAGCCTTGTGCAGCCGCCGACATGGAGCGCAAGGCACTGCCTTCTATTGCCAAGACCAACCCTGCTCAGAAAATCAAGCCTCGTTCCGAGTCCCGAATGGGTGAGCATCCGTCTCTCCAGACTGTGAAATTGCTTTTCATTTCCGCCATACCGAGGTTTTCCATATCCAGTCCAGGTCGCTTACTGCTTTAGTAGTGTCTCGATCCCGATCCAGGAGAATGGGTTTGCTTTGACTACGTGGGCCTCTCTGAGCGGATACGACTTCGTGCAGTGGCTTCACAGAACCAACATGCAGCCTGAACCAATAGACAATCAGCATATGCGCAACTGTTCGACGACCAGAACTTCCCTGCCGCCGGGCCAATCTCAGCTGTGCTGATACCCTGCACGTCCCCGCCCAACCCACCTCAACATGAGATCAGGCTGCGCACCTTTTCCCTCAATACTTCCCCGAGATCCGAACCTGCGTATTTCTTCCTCTCTCCATCGTCAACCTGGTCTCTTCAGCGCCATGGCGGAGGCCTTGGGTCTTGCATCCAGCATCATAGCTGTTGCCGACCTCGCTGGGAAGACGATTTCTCTCTCGGTCAAGCTTAAGGCCCTCTGGGACGAGGTGAAAGATGTTCCGGTCACCCTCCTTGAAAAGGCGGAGTATCTCCAGCACCTCGAAGAGCTTCTTTACCTAGCAGAACAAGATGCCGCAGAAGATGCGACCCCAACGGCTATTTGGAATCCCATCAACAGAGCTCGCGCCGCCAGGAACGATGTCCAGAATACGATCGACGCATATACAGAAGAGCTCGCCAACGGGCAGCGGTTTAGGCGCAGAATCGCCGCTGCCAAGATCGTCATCCAGAAAGACAATTTGAAAGCAGTAGAGCATAAGCTTGACAAGGCCTTAGAACTCTACAAGCTTGCTAATGATGTCACTTACGGGTATAACTACTCGTGCAGATGCTTCCTGTGAGTCAGAGGCTAATATTACTCTATTAGCCACTACAGCAGATTGATCTACAAACAGGTTGCTGAGTCTACGAGTGCCATGGTCATCTCAACATCAAACCAGAGCCCTATCATTGAGTCAGGAGACTCCGCAGGCTATATTTCAAGCCATATGGTTGAAATCAAGGCCGCCAAGCCAACGAAGGACACAATTTTCGAGGGTCCTTCAGCACTGGGTCGACTGTGCTTCGGCTACCATGACCAAACCTACAGCTTCTCTATGAGAATCCCAGACTGGTTGGGAGGGAAAGTTTACTCTTCCATGGTCCAAAGGAGCATAACAGGCTGGCAATCCTTTCTTTCGGTATATCCCATCGTGGATGATCTCGCAAATCGATTCGAAGATATAATACGTGAAGATAACATTCATTCTTTACAAAAGTATCTTCATGAAAACAACCTAACACCTCTTGTCCATAACAAAGCAGGGAGGAACTTGCTTCACGTAAGTATAAACATTTCTTTCCGTAGTCTACTTCACCATTAGAAGACTCCATGTTGAGAATTTTATGACAGAGCGCGGTATTGCTTGAGTCCCTCGAAACTATGAAGTGGCTCTTGAACTGTGGTGTGTATCCGGGCTCCTTCGATGAATGCAGGGCTTTGTTCGATCTATCAGACGCAAGGTACGTGAAGAACATGAACTATTATTTTCCTCGTCGTGGAATATTGCGGTAATTTCACTGACAGGTACCCGGTCGAGGTTTACATCGCAAGTTTCAATTCAAAGAAACAAAGCCATCAAGTTGAGATCCTCAAAATTTGCCAGGATTATATGCCTGACACGGTTGAGTCAAATCATCTGATTTGGGGTACAATGGTTTTCAAAGGGTCCTTTGAGGATTTCACAGCAATCCAAATGGTGATAGAACCTCGCTACCCCGTCTTCGATCTATCCATAAGATTGCGGCATGCCGTCAGTGGCGTTAAATTCAGCGGTTGGAGTTGGCAAGAAGTCAAGAAAGTTTTACATGAAATCGAGACACTCACCACAGACGTAACCGAAATCTGCAGAAATTCTTGGTTCGTCTGGGCACTTTCATCATTATCAGCTTTGGGTCTTGCGATAGATCTCGAGAGACTACACCACAGTCAGTCGATTTTGCCAGTGAACTACAGCTTCTATAAGGCTCTAGGCGATATCGCCAGGATAGACCCTGAGGACATCACGTTTTGTTACGAAGGCGTTTATTTTGACCAGATTGGAGTCACACCAATATACCTATTTCTCCAGCAACTCCTCCCGGGTTGGAAGTCGCCCGAAGCCTTTGACCAGATGCTCCAGTCATCAATCACACATTGGGCGACTATTCTCTACGACAGCGGTGTTGATATCTTGCATTATGGTCGTAAGATGAGAGACATATACCAAAAGTTTGGCAGGTGCGTGTCGGAACAGACCGCTTGGCGTTCCAACTCAGAAGGTGTCCACACGGGGATCGAATACACCTACTCCCTTCTTGGCATCACCTACGGCGCATTGCCCACACAATGGAGGCTGTGGTGGGTTCCGTATATCAACGATTACGCAGCAGACTTTTGGAATATGGTGGAAAATCCAGGTTTAACTCCCTCTGATTTCAACGTCCCGGGAGGTTGGACGGATGACTTTGACGAGAATGACGATGAAGATGATGAGAAAGTCCCGTTCGTTTGGTCGGAATATCGCAAGATCAGACCTCCAATTTGAATTTGCCCATTTCTGTTTATATCTCGACGTCTGTGGAACAGTCTAGTCTTGAGGTCGAGCTTTACGTGCATGTGCGGTAAGGCGAACAGTCCAAGAATCCGATCTAGGGTGGGCTGGGACTTCTCATTCGTCCCCGAAGAAGTACATGCTTCTCTAAAATAGCAACCTAGTATTTGTTTCTTACCTTTGTGGTTCTAAATAAGCCTTCTCTCGTTTCGTCCGCCGTCTTGTCGAAGCCACGAGCTTGTTCCGCCGGCATCTCGTACTTTCAGGTAGTCGCGCGGACCACTAGCATCCGCCCGGAGAGCAAAATTCTCTCGTAGCGGACAGTGACTACAGCGCCATTCATCGACAAGTTTCAAGTAGTTCAAGCGATGATTGAATGCCGAGATTAGGGGAATATGTGAGTCCTCGTCTAATTAACTTGGTAAATGCGCTCAAGAATGAGGGTGTTGGAAAGACGTCTGGTCCAGAAGACGTGTTGAAAGCAGCAAGACATCATTTTGAATATCATGTGCCTGACCCCAAGAATCATGAGGTGTTTTCAGAACTTGAGTCATGATCGGCTACCATTGGCAATGCGGTAGGCTTCAAAAGGACAAGTCTGTCAGGCGTCCTGTCAGCGATCGCGCATTCAGGGCCTGCCGAGCTCTCGGAAGTTGAACTCCGCCACAAGACGAATTCTTGATGAAATTTTGCGAGCATGAGAGATGATTATTCACCACGAACAGATGTCAAGCTTCCTTGTAAGCTCTGCTAGCTGTACCTCACAGATGGGGTGACTGGTTATGCTCCGCAACACCAACCGGGCGGCTATGCAACCACAAAAAGCCAGTGACAGAAGATGCCTCCCCCAACATGCATTATCTTGCGGCGCAGTCTACATGCATATGCATGAATTCCAGGTGACCATGGGAGCGATGTCCCTCATCCAATCCTGCTCATGCTGACCCGCAGCCCTGCCCAGCATGGAGGTGTGGCAGATCAGGCTGTAGGCATACTTTGAAAACCGCATGAAACTGGCGGAACCCAGCAAATTCTCCCTCTTCATCCTCTCCGAGTCGAATTCATCCTCAATCAAGGCATGCACACTACCAGCATCCGGCCGTCGACATGGCAGAAGCTCTAGGCACTGTGGCCAGCGTCATCGCTGTCGTCGACCTGGCTGGCAAAGCCGTCACCGTATCCTTCAAACTCAAGTCCCTGTGGGATGAAGTCAAAGACCTGCCAGAAACTCTGTTAGAGAAAGCCGAGGAGCTCCAGGACCTCGACGACTTCCTACGCGACGCCGAGAGCAATGCCGCCAATAACCCCTTGCCGAACTCAGTGTGGAATGGTACGATTATGCAGAATGCCATTGGCAGAGCGCGCGCCGCCATGGACGACTTTCAAAGGACTCTGGATATCCATATCGCCAGTCTCGCGGACAAACGACGACGAAGACAGAAACTAGCGGCCGCAAAGATAGTCTTTCAGAAGAGCAGTCTTGAGGCAATGGAACGGAAACTGGATCGTGCTCTGCGTCTCTTCAGAATGGCACAGAATCAGTATTACATGCAAGGCTATCCTTTCCGTATACATGTCTCGCCTATGACACATATTGATAGGTGTTTGGCAGGATGTGCGCCTCGATTATCGTCGAACGACTTCCTAAGTCACTGGAAGATCCCGATACGCACAATACTGAATCGCACCATCTCGTTAGATCAAACGACTTTCCTCATGAGATTCCCAGACTCGAAAAATCACATCTCGCAAAATCATCTCACACAGATGTTGCGGCAATGGCTAGAGGCACGACTTTACTAGGCAGGCTTGCATTTAGCGTCAGCTTTCAAAGCTCCCACATCTCGTTCCGAACCCCGAGATGGCTTGGCAATTCTGTTCACTCTTTAATGGTCCAAAGGGGCATGTCAGGTTGGCAGCTGAACATATCATCTCACGCAGTGATAGATTCATTCCCAGAGAGCATCAAAGATGTCATGTGGCGTGACGACGTTATCAACTTGCAGAAGAGTCTTTGTCAACTGAGCTTGACACCGTACGCGTACAACAATTACGGATACAGCCTACTATTTGTAAGTATGTCGTAAAACTTGCCGTGCCTCTCTTCCGCCAGAACCTGCTATAACCTTTCCGCTCGCTAATACTCGCCTGCAAGTACGCGGCATTGTATAGTGCTGTTGAGACATCGAAGTGGCTTTTGAGCGTCGGTCTTAATCCGGGGTCCTTTAGTGAATATTCAGAAACACACCCGAGGAAGGGACGAACGACATTTTACTCAAGGTCAATAGCTCATGATCCACCGTGACTGCTGAGATGTATAAGCTGATAAATGTGAAGAACACCGCTTGTACAGCTGCTCATGTCTCCCGGAAATTCAGAAGAAGGTATTAACCGCAGTGTTGAGATCTTAAGGGCTTTCACAGCCTATGCACCGGACAGTGTTGAAGACGAGGGTGACATATGGCAATTAGCCATGAAGGGCAGGACCTTTGAACAGTATCGTGAGATTCAACGAGTCATGAACCCTGCGTTGCTTTTAGCTCCGTTCGACGCAAGGCTTTGGCATTGCGTGAACGGGCTGCATAAGGCGCACTGGAATCTTGACGAGATCATGTGCCTCTTACCAGAAATGAGAGCATTCAGCGTCGAGTTGGTTATATCTTTCCACTCCATGTCCGAGGAGTGGTTTCCTCTGTCGTATCTGATGGCGGTGGGAGTAAGCTGGGAGCTTCTGGAATCGCACGGCGAGCTACCACAGCCATTGGAAAAAGGCAGTTATGGCAGCATGATCGGTGATATTGCAAGGTCAAGCCCGAGTGATCTGTCGCTGGTTGTGTGGAACACGAGAAAGACACCATTAATTTTAATGGTTGAGATGATGTTCAATCGATGTGAAACGCATTCTCCTCAAATCTTCGACAGGGTCTTGCAATCGGCAATTAAATCTTGGGCAAGTATCCTGCACGCTAACGGGGTCAATCTTTTGGATTACGGATGCCGAGAAAGATTATCCGAGACGTGTCATCGAGAGGCGAGAATCCCGTGCTGGACGAAGGGCGAAGTGCGTCGGTGTAGCTATGTTAAAGTTCTTGGCATTACTTACGGCGCATTGCCTGAACAGTGGAAGATATGGTGGTCTATCTACGACTACGAATATGCCGGGGAATTTTGGCGCATGGTCGAAAGTTCGGCTTCCAGTATTCCTGGGAGTTGGGTGGACGATTTCGATTCTCATGAAGATGATCCCCTTGGCATCAAAGACGTCCCTTGGGATGATGATGAGAGAGGTGACTGGATTGTCTGGTCAGAGTATCGAAGAAACAGGCCTCCCTGTTAGGCCTGTACCCCGAGATGTTCAGGCGTCATGGCATAGACTGCTCATGAAAAACATTTTGAAAGCTTGCACGTCGTACTACAGAAACAGTCTTCATCCACCCGAAGGCTTTTCGACGAGACTGAATCCGAACAACCCTGAGATTTTCCACCTTCAGACTTTGTATTACTTGATATAACAAAATTCAGTGCTAAGTTTCAAAGAAAAGTACTGCAAAATAATGTTGGTTGGGTCGCGCCCGTGGCTCAACTCAACGCGTTCACCAGGACTGGCGACAGACCCCTGTCAAAAGCTGCATCTTTGCCGCCCGCGGGACAGGCCCGTCCCGCCCCCAATGCAATGGTGTGATGTGGCTATATCGGGGCTGTACGAGATGAATCCTTGATCTTCGAGACATACGGTCATCGGCGGCCGCAGATGGTTCTCTGATCGATCAGAGCGACGGCCTCCCGCTCATGGGGTTCAGATTTCTTATGTGTGACCATCAATCCTGCACACCCAACATCGAACATGTCTTCATGAAATACTGTAGTCAAACTTCCACGAAAAGCCTTTGAATCCTTATCAAGTTCAGCATGGAAGCCATCGGTGCCGCAGCAAGCGGCATCGCCCTCGGCCAACTCTGCCTAGGCGTCGTCAAAGCCGTCCGCCTATGGCACGAAATCGAAGACATCCCGTCCAATCTCCAAGACATAGTCGACCGACTCGAAGCCCTCGGGCCCGTCCTCCAAGACCTCCTTCGTCGCTGTGAAGACGACCCCGACATGGACCTCCTCTCAGCACAGCATGCGAGGTCCTGCATCACGTACGCGAAGAAAGCTCATGACGCTCTCGCAGGGCTCATCAAAAATCTCGAAGCAAGTATAGAACAACATGGAAAGACGACGGGTAGTCGTAAGAGTAGAGCGCGTAGGAAGATGGGGTTGGCGTGGGCTGCGTTGCGGAGCGATGATCTGGAGAAGCTTGAGAGGAGGCTTGACTCGGCGATTGGGATGGTTCTGATGTGCGTTGGGTGTTATGACAGGTAAGTTTCACATCATGCAAACCCGGATGCTTGTCTTGCTCACGCAACTAGGGCGATAATGCAAGCTTCACAGGAGCGGATCGCCGAGAAGACGGCCGCGAAAGTCGTCCGTGAGCAGAAAGTGCTACACCAACTCTCGGAAGACAGGATAGCACGGAGAATCTCCTTTGACGTGTCAACTCAGCTTGCGAGCATCACCAGACAGCTTTCGACACTGGAAGATCAGCAGACGAACAAGCGACCGACAACAGAGTGTGTCATCGTTAGATCCGAGTCTACTTGGAAGGGGGTCAGACTGTCGTCGTACAGGCCCACGGCGACAGGAAAGCTAGCGACCAAAGCAGCCAAAGAACGAAATGAGTGGAATGTCGCCGTGCAACTGCCGGCCTGGATATCCCGAGCCGTGTGGGAGGTCCAACTCTGTTGGAGCATCGCAGGAGGGTGGCAGCAAAGTCTGCGAACGTTTAGCGTACGGTCGCAGCAAAGTGCCATCTTTACTATCGTCAACAAGGGCGATGTGAATACCATGATGGGCATGTTTAGTAAGGGAGAAGCATCGCCGCTTGATAGAGATGAGCAGGGCGCGTCGCTGTTATACGTAAGTCAACGGCATGTCTGTTTCCGGCCGGTCCAGCTCACCATCCGAAGTATGCAACGTCTTCCGAGCAGGTCGAGACTTGCAAGGCCTTGCTTGACTTGGGCCTCGAGAACTTCATAGACGATAAAGACGCTACTTCAGAGTAAGCCACACCCCGCTGTCATTCATAGAAGCACAGCATCTGACACATCCCAAGGAGTCCCTTGAGCACCCTCGTCATGTCCCGCAAAAACCTCGCGCCGCAAGACGACCCCAAGCACCGAGCCCTAGTCTCTCTATTCCAGTCTCGCAGCGACAAGATCGAGACCCTCGGCATCGAGCGCATGTTCGAGTTCGAGACGGAGTGTTCCTACGGCGACGACTGGCTCCGCGTCTTCCGGCGCCACTTCTTGCCAGGCTACTACGACATGCCGCTGCGAGAGCGGGCTGAGGCGCTTCGTCTTGGGGCGTTCACGACGCAAGATGTCAAGGTCTACCGGGCTCTGATCCGAGAAGATGGGCGGTTTGTACAAGAAGATGTGCGAGAGTCCACTGAAGCAGGGTTCTCGCTTGTGCATTCCGCTGCTCTGGCACTTGGGAAGCGGTTTGCTGATGAGATGCAATTCGACCCGCGGCTGAGCCGGGATCTGGATGAAGACGAATCCTCAGATGATGAGGACTCTTCGAGGAGGATGCCTTCCATGATTCGGATGAAGTCATACCATGCCAGCTGGAGCCACGCCGTTTTTGACACGATCAAAGCCACGGGAGTAAAGGACCTTCACAGCATAGAGACTATCGTACCATGGGACTGGTACCGCGTGCCCGTCTGGACTGGAACACCTCTAATCTCCCTCATCGGCGGCGCTCTCTGCCGTATCTCGCCAGACATATCCTACCCAAGGTGGGACACCATCTTCCACTGCATCCTGCGGCAATGGCTGCGAGATCTTGAGAGCGCCGGCATCGACCTGCTACAATACGGCAGAAGCGAAGCACTTAAACTCAAGTTCACCGCGCCGCAGGTGAAAGGCGCCTTCGACGCCGATGCCATCCTCGCCTCGCGAAGACGTGTCCGCGCCCAGCTGAGGATGCGGGAGGCCTGGATGCAAGGGGTGGACCTCGACCATCCGAGGAGCGACTTGTATTGGCTGCCGGTCCGCATCGTCGGCCTCGATTACGGCCCGCAGCTGAGGCAGTGGCGGCTGTGGTGGGCGCCTGAGTTTGAGGTGTTTGCCGCCGAGTTCTGGGCGGGTGTGGAGCGGCCAAGGGAGGTCATGCCTGGGTCCTGGGTTGACTCGTGAGGATGGGCTTCACGAGAGTCAACTTTTGAGGCCTTTGTCCCTCGACACATCCACGACACATGGTCTTCAATCAGCAAACCAGGCGCTTGCATGAAGAGAATGTCACCAACGCATCAAAGGCTCATCTCGGCCCCGGCCGTGTGGAGCACCTGTTCGGCGCTAAGGGGCATTCCCGGGATCGTGTGGTTGGGGTGGGGCATATTACCCCTCGCCGGCCCCTCAGGAGCTCCCGCCCGCGGGAAGCTTCCAAGCACAGCAGCAGCAGAGTGCGGGGCAGAGGGGACCCCTACCTATCACGCCAGGAAGCTCCAGACTTGCTTGCGTACATCATTCTGTCTTTCGTCATTCTACGCTCTCCCTTTTCTCAACAGCTCCTACTAATCGACGACTGTCAAGAAACACGACCCATCCCACCTTCACAGAGCATTACATCATGGCGCCGAGAGACACACGCCGACCCGGAAAGGCAGGCTCGTGGTACGCCGGAGACCCGACGGTCCTCAGGTCACAGCTCGAAGAGTACCTCGCCCGCGTCCCGGACCAGATTGACGGCAACGGCCTGCCTATTCCAGGCGCCAGAGTCATCATCGCACCGTAAGCTTCGTCTAGTCACTATCCACCAAGGTAACCTTCATTGCTAACGGCAATCTCCCATCCACAGACACGCTGGCTACGACTACTCAGGCCCGACAGCAGCCTGGGCCTACAAGGCCCTCGACCTCTCCAAGGCGAAGCGCGTCTTCCTCCTCGGGCCCTCGCACACCTTCTACCTCCGCGGCTGCGCCGTCACCGAGTACCAGAACTACGGCACGCCCTGGGGCAAGCTCAAAGTCGACGAGGCCATCATCGCCGAGATCAGCGGCGCGCACGACGTCCCGCCTATCCCCGGCAACAATGACGACAAGGAGCACTCGCTCGAGATGCACCTGCCCTACCTCTGGCTGCGCCTCGAGCAGACCTTCGGCTCGCCCGACAACTTCCCGCCCGTCGTCCCGATCCTCGTCGGCGACAACAACAAATCGGAAGAGAAGGAGGTTGGGAAGTGGCTCGCGCCGTACCTCAAGGACCCCGAGAACGCGTTCATTGTCAGCTCGGACTTTTGTCATTGGGGCAGCCATTTTGATTACACGGTGTACTCGCCCGACGGCACGGTGGAGGAGATGAAGCGGCTGCGCGGGTACAGCGCGCCGGATGGGCCGCCGATCCACGAGACGATCAAGATGGTGGACGACCTCGCCATCGAGGCGATCAAGACGGGGAAGCATAGTAATTTCTACGATAACTTGAAGCAGACGAAGAACACGGTCTGCGGGCGGCACCCGATCGGGGTGACGATGGCCGCGCTGGAAGAGCTCGGCGAGGGGCACCCGGTGTTCAGGTTTGTGCAGTACCAGCGAAGCAGCATGGTGACTGAGCCGAGCGACTCGAGCGTGAGTTATGTGTCGGCGTATGCTGTGGTATGAGAGGTAGGGAGCATCGCGAGGAGGCTTGCTGAGTAATGGGGTGTTTTCTGGTTTTGGTGTTTAACGGGTTGGGGAGGGGATGGTTCAGGCATGTGTGGCATGAAGGAGTTTTCTGAGGTGGCTTAGACGCGGGTTTCAAACCGACGATATGGCAGGGAGAGCATGACACGCAGAGGAATTGAAGAGACAAGCTTTTTGTCCTTGTGTAATGCGATGGTGGGGTTTGTGTGCCTATGCAGCATCTAGTTCTTTCAGAACAGACAAGAGAGATTGAGAGAGTTTCTTCAGACGCATGTTGAATCGTTCATATACCTTCTCATGTTCGGCAACTTGGGTTCGCCAAAACTCTTCAGCTAAGTTCGTGAGCGCAAACCAGTTCTGAGAGCACGATAGCGTCAGACCACCGCAGCAGCCTCAGCTTTCCATACCAAAGACATACTTCACAACTTCGTAGGCACGTGGGCCAACAATCCCACGACCAAAACCACTGACGACATTTCGTCCCAAGTCACCACAGAGGTCAAAGACACCACAACCGTCGCACACGGCCGAGACGAAAGGCCAGATCTGGGGTGGTATAAGTAAAACGGCCGCCGCCCGGCTCGCATGAACGCGACGGCGCCGCTCGGGTCTGATCTTGTTCAAGCCGATGTTCCGTACTATGCAGCCGGGGGAGGGGGAAGGGCCGTTGGCTGTCCCGTTCGGGATGACGAAGCAACTCAGATCTTTTCACGGGTGTGAGAGGGGAGGTCCTGGTGAGAATGCAGCACAGCCCTATGGGATTGTTCTCGCTTTCCTCCCTGCGATAAGGGATGGAGGTGGATGTGGTGTAGTCAGCAGCGGTCTTGGGTAATTGGCAGGGCTGCGCATTGCGGGCTTTGTCTTGGTTTTACTCGGGATGCTTTGTGGGAAGGCGAAGAACTGGAATGCGTGATCAAAAGCTTCATCGAGGAAGTTGAGGGGGTGCGATGGCAGACTTGCTTTCCCTCCTCGGAGATACCAGCGTACCCCGCGCGTCGTGGCGATGCCAACGCCGACAGCGAACAAGATTTCTTCTTTTTTTTTTTCCTTTTCTGAGAAGAATTCAGCATTGACTTTGGCGCAACGAGTGTCCAGATGGGATATTCCCAGTCCTCTGAAGGGGGCACAATTCAAAGTTCTTCGGGCCAAGGATCTGGACCGCCGCTTGTGGCCGGACTGCAGCGGGTTCAGTGGTGCACTTTCCAAGGGAGCACCTAGTAGGAAGTGCTTCGTCCCGGCGGAAGGCGCAGGTGTGAGGCGGGATTGGTAGCCGGGTGGTCGATGTAAATGGGACGGTGTGGAAGGCTGTGTCCGTTGGGTGGGAAAAACTCCGTAGGACTTTGTATTGATGTCCTTAGCGAGCTGAGCTTGATAACCCGCGCCTCTTCGTGCGGCTGTGGATTTGATGGAAAGCTCCATAGTAAGCAAAGCTGTTAGGCACCTGCATTTTGCACGTACGGATACACACCCGGAATGGCGGGGATCAAGTTCATCGGCGACGGGGCTGAGAACTAACTGGTCGGGTGGGCTTTAGCCGTTCGCGGGCAAGTTCGAACCCGCCCAGCCTGCTGACGATGGGAACCCATGGGCTTACGGCTTGCAGCAGACCGAGTCTAAAAGTAGGCGAAGGATGGTGAGCGACCGGGGGTGTTTTTTCTGTGGTGTTCCTGACGTCGGGGTTTCTTCTTGGAAGCTGGCTACATCATCATTGCTTCCCGGGCGGAAGAAACATTGGATACCGGATGATGGGGAAACACCAGAGTTTACCGCACCTTTTTTCGGAGAAGCTGATGGCCAGCTTGGCTTGAAGTCTTGAGTGAAGGTGAGGCTAAGCTCAGCCGTACAGACAGACACATGTCCACGGAGACGGACGGAACTTTGGCGCTGGAGGGGTGAGGTGAATCGAAGGGGGGAGACAACTCATGCAGATGGCAAGCCTCTTTTTCTCGTGTAGACTTAGCTCTTTTGGTGGTTTTCCGAGACCGTAAGCTGAAGAGCGGGGTGTGGTGGGTGTGATGGTAGGTGTAGGAAGCTGCAGCTGTCTGGGCTGCTGCAGCACAGTGGCCGGAAGGATTCTCTTGACTGGATTGTGTTAATTTGGGTTGGTCTTTTTGTTCCGTTCTGGCCCAGCCTGATTTTTCCTTTTCCTTCTTTGGGGGGGAGGAGGAGCTGTAGATGAGATGGTGTGTGTGGATGGTTTAAGAGGCGGCGTTCCCATTTTCTGGATTGCTGACGGGGTCTTCTTGGTTTTTAATCCTTTTCCCAATTTTTCCCTCGAAGTGTTTCTCGATCACCCAGTCTCCAGCTTCAGCAGCATCACCACCACCCCCGGTTTCTTGGTGTTGCTTGTTTTCTGGGGCCCGCCCACCGCTCGAAACACACAGTCACCACCACCACTCGACTGTCATTGGAAAAGGAAAAAGAACCCAATCAATACATTGGAAAAGCAAAAAAGTCAACGTCTCAGAGATAGGTGAAGGTGGTTGATTCGACTCGCTCACAACGACCGTCGTGGGCATTGATCGACCCGACCCGTCCACACACACACACACACACCACCGAAGGCATTGAAGCCAGGCATCACCACTGCGGGCCAACACGAACACGCAGTGCACCACCATCCGCACGCCAGTACCGAAAGAAACAAAAGAGAATCCAGCGAAACGAGCCAGTACTACCAGCAAATTTGATTGGACACCAATCTGCGTGCTCGGGTTTCAACAGCACCCTCAGCAGCGGCCTTTCGTTGGCCGGTAAAAAAAGACGCTGCGACCGAAGCAAGACGCAGAAAGCCGCCCAGACGGGACGCGATTCGATTCGCTGACGACTTGGGCCGTCGACGACATCCCTGCAGCAGCAAGCTCAAAGTTGCCTCCTCCCCCCCATTGATACTTTGCCGGCGCAGTGTCGTCACGAGACCGCTTGAAGCCGCAAGTTCAGCAACCTTTGGCAGGCTGTGCATAGGTTGGTTCAATCAGCACCTCAGCAGCGTTAGCCTTCTGGAGTATCTGGGTTTTGCACACTTGACTTGGCACGAACGGTCAGTCAGCGAGCAATACAGCCAGCCAGAAAAGCAAGCAGCTTAGGCATAACGGAGCACCAAAAGCCAAAAGTCGCTCAGGCCTCACCTCATTCATTAACAGAGAAAAGGAGGGGGAAATTCAGTCAGCAACCGTCGCCCGACGTCACCAATAATCGCCTTTTTGGAGCTGGCGCATTAACTGATCGGGCCCTCGTCCTCGCATCTCCCGCGCGGCGCCTCAAGTTTATTCGCCTCGGGCGTGTTACACCACACCCGAAAAAGAGCAGCGAGTCGACGAAGTAACAACTTGCGTAGCCCAAGTAGGGGAGTCCAAGCTTCAGGGTCCATTCATCGCCCCGCCCGCGGACCAATCAGAGGCGCTGCAAGTGCCCTGAGTCGAGACACCACCCACTGGGAGTCTGGGACCGTCCTCGTTCTTGGGAGGAGTTCCTGCACGCCGCACGCAGCTCGCAGCAAGCAGCACGCATCCGCGCCCCTTTCCCTTGCGTGTGTTGCATTGCCCCTGTCACTGTCACCACTTTGGACCTTAGTAGGTGCCAAGTATCTCGAACCATCGAAAGTCATACTCGACCACGAATAAGTACATACTCAGGACAACACAACATACGACAGACTACAGCATACCGCAGCAGTCTTACTCACGACGACGGCCATCAGTCAGAAAAGGACGACGACGAAATACGAACAAAAATAAACCAGCCCTCTGCAACGGCTGCCTCTCATAATCAACACGGACCCTCCATCATCTCTCGCTACCTAAACGGCGATCATTCCGCAGCCAGGGCCCCCCTTCCCAGCTGCTCACAGACAATTCGAATTTCTGCTACAAAGAAGCGCCTCAAGCCACACCTCCCGCGCACCAGCACTGAACCCAGCAGCAAGAGCAGCAGCAGTGCACTACCATCAGTCAATCAATCAATCCAACGTGGAATCTAAACCAAAGGTGGCCCGGCCCATTCGCACCTCCTCGCCTCGTCTCGCTTCGTCCCCTGAACAATCCACCCAGACAGAGAGAAAGAGAGCCACCCCCGGCCCAGCGTCGCTTTCCCTGTCTCCTGGTTCCTCTCTTTTTTATCCACATCCACCACCAAAAAGAGACACCAAGACCTTTCTTCGTCTTCTCATCGCTGTCGCTGCCGTTACGCTGTCACTCTTGGACACTGCAACATTCCATCTGTCGACAAAATCCGTCTCATCTCCCTCCTTGGAAACAGCCCATTCTGCCCGTACTCAATTGCTTCTACCACCTACCTCATCGATACACTGCCTGCCTGCCAACCGACCTACCTACCAAAGAAATAAAACAAAAAGACAAAAAGGCATTGATCGATCCAGCTTCTCTCCTTTGCGTCGCGCGACCGACGACACCTCGACTGCGAGAAATCAATCCTCTTTGAAAAATCGCCCCGTCGTCGCGCAAGGAAGAAGCCTACGCGCTTCGCAGAAGCAGCCATGAGTGTCAGTGTTTCACCCCAACCCTCGCACTTCCGGCGTTTCGACCGCCGCCCTGTTCCTGTTCTCTCCCAGTCCCTTTGCACCCATTGCACCCACTGCCCTACCCTACCGACGTTGCATTGCGTCGTGCCTTTCTCTGCCATTGGCCTGACTCTCTGTGTGTCGCGCTGTGTCAAACCCCCCAGAGCCACAAGGCACATGTTCTGGCCTTTCTTCCCCCCTTCTCGAAGTCGAATGTCCTCCACCCGGTCGCTCCCTTTTCCGCAATCGCAACCCAACCCAAACCCCCCCAAGCACAATCATTTTGACTTTGGATCGATCACCAACCTTTTTCTGCACATCATTCATTCTTGCTTCAGCCTGGTTGCGTTGCATTTGTATGGTGTTGCTTGCTTTTTACCACTCTATCGCGTTTCTCTCGACCTCACCTCCCTACCTCTCCTAATCCAGTCCTCCACCGGTGTCCGAAGCCGAAACTAACATCATGGCACAGTACGGGTATGTTTCTCTGTCTTCAGGAGCCGACGGCGCCCACGACGACGAATACGACCTCTCCCGCGGTAGACTAACAGACTCAACCAATGACAGATACGGTGGTCGTCAAAACCCCTTTGACCAGCGCGATGACTCCCCTTCAGGAGGCGGAGGCTACGGCGCCCCCATGAGAGGCCCTCCCCAGCAGTCCTTCGGCTCAGGGCCGTCTCCCTACGGAGGATCCAGATATAACAACGGACCACAAATGGGTAGGGACCAATACGGTATGCTCCAAGGCCGCGACGGTCGTCCTCGCTCGCATCGCTCACACGCGTCCTTCACAGGAACGAACGTCGAAATGGAATCCCTCGCCCAAAACGCCGGTGGCTTCGGCCAGTCGTCCGACCCTAACGCGATCCTGAACGAGTGCCGATCCATCGACCAAGGCATCGACCAGATCGAGCAGAACCTCAATCAGCTCCGCATGCTGCAAGAGCGCACACTCACCGACGCAGACACCTCCGCGAACTCCGCCACCGCCCGCCAGCTCGATGCCCTCTCCTCCGAGACGATGACCCAGTACCGCTCCCTCACAGACCGCGTCCGCCAGGTCAAGTCCACCCCCGAAGGCCAGACGCCCAAGAACTCGCCGCAGGTCGGCCGCGTCGACCGCCGCCTGAAGGGCGCCATCCAGCAGTACCAGCAGGTCGAGTCCCAGTTCCGCAAGCGCACCCAGGACCAGATGGCCCGTCAGTACCGCATTGTGCGCCCCGACGCCGACGAGCGCGAGGTCCGTGAGGCTGTGGAGGATGCCGGCGCCGGTGCCCAGATTTTCCAGCAGGCCGTCATGCAGTCCGGTCGCCAACAGCAGGCCAATGCCGTGCTGTCTGCCGTCCAGGACCGCCAGGCTGCCCTGCAAAAGATTGAGCAGCAGATGGTCGAGCTGGCTCAGCTCTTCCAGGACATGGATGTCCTCGTCGTACAGCAGGAGGCCGCCGTTACGCAGATCGAGCAGAAGGGCGAGGAGGTCGTCGAGAACCTCGACAAGGGTAACCAGGAGATTGGTGTGGCCGTCAACACCGCACGCAAGACCCGCAAGAAGAAGTGGTGGTGCCTGGGTATCTGCGGTAAGTTCTCCAGCGAGGCTATGTTCCAATTTGCCACTAACTCAGCCCAGTCCTCATCATCGCCATTGTCGCCGCTGTCGTCGCCATCTACTTCGCCGTCATCAAGCCCGGCCAGACCGCTGCCGCACCCGCTGCTGGCAAGCGTTCACTCGAGCTCGGCTCCCTCCCCGCCTTCTCCAACAGTGTACCCGTCGATGTCAGCTCCGTCCACCCGCAAAAGATCAGCCGTATCATGCGCCGAATTGTCACACCGGGCGCCACGTGGAGCCCCGACGCCGTACAAGACGCCGCTGTCGTCGCCCGCGTTGGTGGAAAGTGGGACATGCCCGCCGTCCGCAACTAGATGTCACACCCTACCTCTCCGACACTGTACAAAATATACCTCCATACCACCTTTAACCGGCCGCCCCGCGGGGCCGCCATGTCTCCTTATCCCGTATAACCCGTCCCTCCGACTTGACGTCTGGATCGATTTCTCATAACCGTTTACCACCATAAGAGTTACTCGCCTTTTTATAGACGGACTGGATTAAAGGGAAGGCAAAAACTTCTTTTTTTTACTTCTGCAGCAGTACACACACACACACACACACACACACACATCTCTCTTCCGGTTTGGGTGGAATAACAAAACCAAGGAAAGGGAAGAGAGCAGATGATGAGGGGGAAAAGGATCCCGGGAAACCCAGGCCTTGGGGATTTTGATATTTTCCCTGTGTGAGGAAGCAAAACAAAAGAAGGATCATTTCGTATAGGGTGTTTCTTTGTATACCCACCCGTAACCAGACTTTCTTTTACTGTTTGCCATGTTGGATTTTTTCTTGCTGTCTGTGAAAGTGCGTTGCGTCTTTGGATTCAACATGTATCCCTTTTATGAATGAGAGGGGCATGGTAGTTGTTTTTGGCGCGAAAATTCTTTATTTTGTTGCATTCTGGGCGTTGGCATGTTGAGTAAATATAGTCTGGTTCCGAATTGACATTATTAATATGATGGAAGAGTCTTTGCTTTAAAGTGAAGTGATGAGATGTCAATCTTGAGAGGCCAGGATTTGGTGTGTCTGTGGGTGAGTGGTGTATAAGAGGCATATCAAAAGGGATTGCGCCTGGGAAGCGAGGCCTTTGTGATGGCCCTCAAAGTAGCCACAGCAAGGTTCTGGGGGTAGTTCTGGGGTCTTTGGGGTGGAAGACTTCTTTATAAAGGACGCGGAGTTCCAGAATGTTGGTTGGTTCGCTGACTGTGAACCTCCCCGAGCCAATCTTCACAATGACGTCCCGTTACCATGGTTATGGATGGTCCGTTGTCGTGTTTTGGCGCAGTGAATGGGGCTTATGAGTGGGACATGAGGGTGAGGCAGCTGTAAGGTAGCAGGATTGTGATAGAGTTCTAGTCGTCACGCGGGGTTGTAGGTTTGCGGGTATGTGGATGGATACGTGCGAAGTGTAGTTTTAGGAGGGGGGGAGTTTCGCTGGAGGTGGTGGGAGTGGTTTATGGCGTTTCTAGTATATTTGAGGATTGCAACTCCAGGCCTGTGGCTGGGCGATTGGTTTGCTGCTTGAAAAGAAAGAGGTTCTTCCTCGTTAGGATGATGTTCTTTTTAAAGTGTTTAACGCGTGCTACGTACGTAGTGTGTCCTGAGGCCTGCGTGAAAGATCTATTTAAGGGGAGCCATAGGGCTGGGCTATGAGTGTGTGCGGGCATAATGACCGCTGGGGACCTGTGATGAGATGCCCTTCTTGGGGTTGGGGGTTCTTGGTGATGAAATGTGGGAGAAGTCTGGATGGGAGTCGATCTGGTCTTGCTTGTAGCTATTACTGGATAGCTGGACGGGCTAAAGACTATTATTGTCTTTGGTCCCGCGCGGTGCTCATCTCTGCGAGGCTATTCACTGGGATTATTCTGTCGAGGCAGTCCTTTACGAAATCTTAGTGTGATGAAGTTACTGCGGTCTCTGAGCACTCTTAAAGTTTCATATGCAATTATTCAAGAATCGTAACAGGCGACCTCTCAACGCCAGTTGAAGAGGGGAGAGACTCTGGGCAAGAAATACTCTTATAGAGGGGTCGTCTCTGCCTGATGTGGTTGACGTCTAAGGCGAAGAGGTGTGGGGGATCTATTTGAGGGGTCTCTGGAGGCTGAGAAGCATGTTATCACGCATTCAGCCAGGCTGCGACAGGTAGGTGATTGTGTAAGTCGTCTTGGCAGAAGTGTTGGTGATGAGAGTGCGCGAAAAGCTTGAAGGGGAGAATCTCATTTGGCCTCTGAAAGACCTGGTGTGGTGTTTCACATCGCGCGCGGTACTTATCCCTATCATCGTATTTACCAGCAGCATCCTCAACATGATGAATGGAAGAGTCCAACCTCAAAGGCCCTCTAGAAGCATCCCCTCTTATCTAGGCGCAACGGCATTCGTTAATGCATCCTCCTAAGTCGGCCAAGTATATTCCCAGCTCATTGCGTGCGGCTTGGCGATGGAGTCCGTCCATTTGCTTGCCTCTTAACTACAGATAGGATTCTTATTACATACCTCCAGCTTTGGCGGAGTTTGGTTTATGGATGAGGGTTGGTTGGAGTCATGCCGCTCAAGTAAGATGCTGCTTCTGATATTGATGAGTACCTATGCTGAGAAGACGACATGACCTGGAAAACGTGATGCCATCATGGGAGAGCATCTGCTTCGAAGGTGTGGATATAATAGACCTGACGTTCACCATCATATGCTAACAATGAGGAGCCAAATTGGCGTTATGGACCAAGGCTGCGAGACACGAACCTGAGCTCCAAAATGGTCATCGACGTCATTCAATGGGCATCAAATCAGGGTTTGGCATCAAAGTATCGAATGGTTCGCGGGATAGTGGTCGGTTCAGACAACATTCAAGTGTCTCTCTCGGGCTTCCTGTTACCATACAGCAAAACTCAGTTTCAATTTGAGTAAAAGCCAGTGGCATTGATTGGGACTCTTGATCTCAAGAACTTAAGTCTGATGTCTGACTCGTACCAGGCTCGTACGCCTTCCGTTGGCCTTCCAACATTGAGCAAGCCAACATATGACGGTATGCAGATTGAACTAATCGGCGTGTCGTCTCCTACCTAGGTACTCAGCCAATAGGACCCCTGTCCTCGTCTCGTACCTCGCCAGGTTGCCTTTGCAATTTGAAAGACGTTATGCCTCTAAAGTGTACGTGCTACAGTCACGGCAGGGTGATTGAGAAAGGCGTTAGCATTAAGAGCGTTGAATAGGATTACAGTAAGACCTATCTATTAGCCCCTTATAGCCTCTAAAGGCATAAAAGGGTAAGAATGAACGCATCCATGGACCCCTGTCCATCGTGCGCGGCCGATCCAATAAGACGCATTTCACTGCAATTTAAACCCCCCCCGAGAGGATGAAGTCGAGGACGTCCCGGCAACCACTGAACACAGAGGAGGCTGGGCACATTGTAATAACCAAAACGAGTATCTATCTATCACTGTCACTATAAAAGCCATCATCGTCTTTCCAACCGCCACTTCAATCTGACAGAGATTGGAATATGTGTCTCATCGGTGGACTGTTTAAAAGCACAATCACAGTCTAATCCACATGATTTAGGCGATGCATGTCAGCTACCCCAGCGCTTCTCGCTCACCATCCATCAAGAGATACTCCTGCCGTCGTTCAGCCCCGTACTTTGGGTATTGTAAACACACTCAAGCATCTGTATGAAAGGAAAATCAAGAGATACCATAGAATACATGAAACCAGCGGTGAACACGTCAAGATCTGCAAAGCTTTCACTCCGAGGGTGGAGAGGTCACAAGTTAAAAGGCCGCTGTGATCTGAATGCCTGCACTCATCCTTAACCTTCCCCTCGTGAAATGCATTGACTTGCGACAAATTTAGGATATGGATGCATGATACGTTCAGCTCTGACATTGATTAAACTTGGTTGGACAGGATAGAAAATCTCCACTGAGTTGGTTTCCTCAAACATTCACTGAGCTGGTAATCATGGAACACTGGCAGGACAAAGACGAATGAATGAGACTGAAGCAACAATCAATTACACTATCTGAGCTCAAGCGGTATGGTATGTTTCGTCCTGATCCCATAAACTCTGTGCTGCTCTCTTGCCAAAAAAGCACCCCTTCAATGCCCATAATTCATACATATCAGTAACGTCGTGATGACATAAGACTCTAGGCCTTCGCACCAGCGCAGCCTCCGTTGTGTCCATCGACCTCGTCATTACAATCAGCATCATGATCCGCGACCGCACGGCGTCCTATGATCCTGCTGCGCTTCATGTACCGGTTGGCCGCGCTCTTCTTCGCAGAGCCATATCCAGTGAGCCCCTCAGGAGGAACGACCGGGCCAGGCCCCATGAGCGGTCCAAGATCGGGAAGACCGCCATCACCGTAGCCGTTGTCAGTACCTGCGGGCGCGTTGTTGCCACCAGCCCCAGAGTCCCTTGCTCCTAGACCGCTGCCGTATCCACCATCGGGGCTTCCTTTTGGCAAGGAGTTGATGATGCTCTGAAGCAGAGCCTCCAATTCTGCCTGTGATAATCCAGGGGGAGTGGGCGTTGGTGGAGGTGTCACTGCAGCTGGTGGGTTACCTGCGGGAGCTGGTGCTGGTTGACTCTGGGGAGGAGATGTGGCTGCAGGCGCGGGGTTGCTCGCGGGCGCGGGAGTGTTCGCGGGTGCCGCTGTATTTGCAGGAGTCCCCGCGGGTGGGTTGCCTTGAGGTGGAGATGAAGGATTCCCGGCATTCGGGTCGCCAGCGCCACCATCGCCTCCAGAACCATTGCCGTCGGAGCCGTTGCCAGCATCGTCATCAGATGGCATGCTCAGCGCTTGACCATCGGCACTGTACACGGTGGCGGCCCAGTCACCTCCGCAAATGTCTGTAGACAGACCGTCGCAAGGCTTGTTGCACTGCTCTCTCGGAAGACGCTCTGCGATTTGGAACATGTTTCCACACCAGCACTCCGTTCCGTACTCTGTACCAGCAAGCTTGAAGCCCATGGAAGCGCAGTGCTCAATGCACTTCTCGTTGGACATGCTACCAGCAAAGTAGTCTGATGGGTCGCCGTCAAGTGTTCGGATGTTTGAATCCTTGAAACAGCCAAGAAGCTTCCAACCAGAGCAGTCCGAGGCAGCTTTGGGTGCAGCATCGTTGGGAGCGGCGTTGCCCGAACCTGCGTTGGGATCTCCAGCACCCGCACCCGCACCTCCGTTGCCAGTTGATGCCGGTGAAGCAGGACCAGTGTTGGTTGGTGTTCCATTGCCAGTCGGTACTTCTGAACCAGAACCTGCGCCTGCTCCATTGCTGGGGTTACCGTTGGCAGGGTTTGCCGGCGAGGCGCCGTAATCAGACAAAGGTTTTCCGTCACCAGAGTCTCCTTTGTCGTTGCCGGAACCATCTGCAGGAGAGCCACCATTGCCAGCGTTGCCTCCAGAGCTGGTGTTGGGATTGGGAGGAGATTGTGCAGGAGACGCTCCATTTCCATCAGGGGAGTTGGCCGGTGCAGCATTGCCAGAAGTGTCAGGCGAGCCGTTGCCAGAGCCATTCCCTGAGCCATTACCCGCGCCGGAATCGTTGTTGGGATCAGTAGGAGGTGCGCTACTCGGAGGTGCTCCAGCCCCAACACCGCCGGTAGGTTGGCCACCATTGGAAGTTGTGCACGGCGTCGTTGCGGCGTTGGCAGGACCAGCATTCGCGGGCGTAGCAGCGGGATCTCCGTTACCAGAGCCTCCATTTTCGTCACCCGAGCCATTGCCAGAACCATTGTTGGGATCCTTGGCTGGTGGATTGCCCGTACCTGCGCCATTTCCAGATCCATTGCCCGTTGGCTGACCTCCGTTTGCCGTAGAGCAGGGTGTCGAAGCAGCGCCATTGCCGTTGCCGGAACCGTCGCCGGGAGGCTTCCCGTTGCCTGGGTCGCCATTATTGGGACTTCCATTGCCGTTGGCAGAGCCATCATTGGGGTTGCTTGCTGGGCTACTGTTGCCATCTCCATTTCCAGAGGTGTCCGTCTGCTGAGAATCTTTTGCCGTGGAGCAGGAAGTTGATGAAGCCCCATCGCCATTGGAACCGTTACCGGCACCGCTTCCAGAACCGTTGCCGTTGCCGTTCCCATTCCCATTGCCATCTCCGTTGCCGCTACCATTGTTGGAGCCGTTGCCAGAACCGTTGCCGCCATCTCCGGGAGTTGCGGTAGGTCCAGGAAGAACGAAAGCAGTCACGGTGGTGATGACTACATTGGCCGGCCCGTTGGCGCCTCCAGATCCCATGCCTACGTCCGAAGGGGCACAGTACCAGCCACCTTTGCAGTGATAACAAGGCCAGCCCATCCCGCACGGAGCAGGTACCATTGGCGTCTCCTGAGGGGGGCAGAACCAGCCGTCGAGGCATTCCGAGCATGAATATCCCCTTCCCGGACAGGGACAAGAACCAGAGGGTGGCTTGGAGGGAGACGCTGGGCATGCTGGACATTGAACCACTGCAGGGCAGTCGGAAATGGGGATGACCGGGGTGGATGGCGGAACGTTTCCCGATGGTGCAGGGGCTTCTGGTTCTTCAACAGAAAAGATGCCGCCGGATTGACTTGTTGGAGATGCTCCAGATTTGTTGCCTCCACCTGGCGTTCCAGCAGGAGCCTGCGAAGGGGCTTGCGAAGGGGCTTGTGAAGCGGCTGGCGAAGTTTCTGGGGTGGCGGTGATTGAAGGGCTCGCTGCAGGTGCTGAAGGAGACGCAGGAGCAGGAGCAGGAGCAGCTCCATCCGACTGGCCAGGGTTCGCAGAAGCAGAATTGGCTAGGAAATCATGTTAGCTTCGTTAGTCACCTCCGCGTGATGACAACTTACCAGGTGCAGGCGGTGTCGCCGGACTGCCCGATGGTGCGGGTAATTGACCTCCTCGATCGGTGTTCTGCGGTTGGCCGTTGTTCGGGCTTGAAGTCTCAGGTCGAGATGCTGATGCCGTGGGTACAGGACTTCCACCTCCGGCAGAGGACGGAGAAGCCGGCGAAGACTGGCCATTGCCAGCTGATGGAGAGATGGGTGAGGACTGACCACCGGAAGACGGAGCAGCAGATGGGGCAGCAGATGGGGCAGCAGACGAGGCAGCAGACGGTGCAGCAGATGATTGTTGTCCGCCAGCAGCACTTGCTGTCATTGAGGAACCTTGAGAGGTAGCTCCGACAGCTGGAGATGACGGAGAAGCACTGCCTGTGTTTCCATTCGCTGGCTGAGAGGCAGGTGGCGCAGACGGGACTGATGTGGATGAAACAACAGCACTTCCACTTGCCGGTGTCGCGTCCGACGCAGGAACTCTTGACGACCTCGAAGGAACAGCAGAGCAAGGGACGGCAAGAAATGTTGGAATACCCTTGGCGATGTTGACGACAGTGCACAGCTCGGACTCTGTTGCATCTCCCAGAGTAGTGACCGGGCTTGGAGCATCTCCCACAATTGGGATCGCAGTGGTGGCCTCGCTGACAGCTTCAGAGACGGAAGCTAAAACACTTGATAACGCGGTTGAGTCGTCAGGAAGCTGTGGCGCATTGAGCCCACCGAGACCCGTAGGAAGTGTCGAAGACTCAGGTAGGATGACTGTGGCCGCACCTAAGTTGCTGCTTAAATCCGGGATGACGGGGTTGGTGAGGGGATCGGAGCTGCCGACAGGGACCATAGAAGTCATGATGTTCCCAGAATCTGTCACAGCAGCGACAGCCGATGGCAGCGAGGTAGGTGGGTTGTTCAGGAGAGATGTCGCGGCACCGACCGGTTGTGTAAGCGTGGCCATAATGGTGGGAAGATTGCCATTGCCAACAGCCTCGGTTACGCCAGGAATGGGGACTGGCAGTTGACCACCAGTTGAGGGTGCGGCAGGATTAGATGCTCCTGTAACGCCCGACAGAATTGACGGCACGACTGAAGCTACACTGCCGCCAACGCTGGCAGCTGCATTCACCAGACTCTGGACTGGTGTTCCATCGATGAAGGTGCCAACAACATCGCCAATGTTGACTGTTGAAGCTGCGGTAGCTGCACCGCCTCCTGCGCGCCTAGCAGTCAGGGTTGCGATGATCCCACCAGCGTGGCTTGTGATATGGCTCAAAGCGCCGTCCACGACGCCACCAAGAGCACCGAAAGGGCCTTGTGGTTGATTGTTGCCAACTGCAGGAAGAGGAGTGGTGATGGCTGACTGGTCTTGGTTGGGAGCTGGAGCAGATGGACGAAAGATGCTGCCTGGCAGGGAGTCGATGCCGAAGAATTGTCTGCGTTCAAGATCTGGATTGCTTTTGGCGACAAGGTTGGAGTGGTCTTCCTCCAGAATTGGCTGGACTGCCTGGGTAACGGCAAAGGCTGTGAGGAGGGCCAGGACGACCAGACTGATGACGACTGTCGTCTGCCTCTGTCGAGGCGTTGGTCCCGAAGGACAGGTGGGCCACATGATGGGCTATTGGGGCTATTAAAGCACGAATGGAATGAGTGAAATGACGAGATTTGTTCTGATGAGGACTGCCAGTGGGAATGAAGGTTCCAAAACCGGGTTCCAAGAAAACGAGCCAAAATTGTAGCGAGAGTGGGATGAGGAGGTCGTGTGGTGATGTTGGTGGGAGAAGAAGAGGAGACGTTGGGGGATGGAGAGGCAGATGGATGATATACTCTGCCATGATCGAACCTGGTAGCTTCCCATCAAGGGAGGTAAGAACGATTCCAGGAAGGCGTCATAGAGTCAGGGGAGCTGTCCGTGACATGATGGGAAGGGGCCGCTGCTCTCTTTCCTGGGATGGTTGGGGGAGGGAAGGAGGTATTGCAACCAAGGGAAGGAGACGGAGGCTGTACCTAATGCTGTGAAGCAGGAGGTAGGTAAGCGTGCATTTGCACCTGCTTGATGTCATCCAAATGGCTACTGGGGAAGCAATTCCTCCGCACACTTCCCATTCTTTGCATTCGTCAGCAGCAGTAATGCCTCGTTTGATGTTGCCCTGTTTATTGACTCGAACCGCCGGAATGAAGTCTATGACTGCGTGGTGTTGCAAGCCCTCATCCCCGCCGCCTGCTAATAACTGTATCTCTTCAGCCGGCTCTGTAGATGATGAAATTTAAGGTCACTCACAGAATTCATACCAGCCTTGGAATCGTATAAGGCAGCACGATTATCGACACTCATTGAGTAACAATTCATACTCAACCGATGCCTTGTCCAAAATTTCTTAGAATTCTCACCGTCTATCCGAACTGTCGTTATAATCGATGCTTCGCCAATGCCAACATTGGATGCCTCCCATAGTCTTGATAAAGTCTCTCCAGCGCGGTCTCTCTCTCATCTTTCGATGTCTGTCTCGGCTTCCCCAGATCTGTCGCCAGACGCGCTCTACCCCCGAAAAGAAAACAGCACCTTCCGCGACGTCTATGCCTTCTCTTCCTTGCCCCATCTCTGCGTCTCGTCGCCGCCCTGCCAGTCCTTCTCGACGTAGCCAATCTGGCTCTTGACCTTTTGCACGGTGTCCTTGTCGCCGGTGTTCTTTCCGATGTTATCACTGCGAGACTCATTAGCACCAACCGCAACTCCCACCCTCCTTCCCGGGGATACTTACCTAATCTTGATGGCCGGCTTCCCATTCGCAGAGCTCAGCTTAATCACAATATTCAACGGCACAGACTTGGTGCCCGTCTTGAGGTGCTTAAAGTCATTAGTAAGGAACGTGCCCACGCCAAACGTCGGCGTGAAGCCCGCCGCCTCGGAAATGGCCTTATACTGCAGACACTTGTCAATGTCCAACGAGTCGGAAAACACCATCATCTTCTTCTCCGTGATGCCCTGGCTGTCGTAGTACTGCCGCAGCATCTTGACGTAGTCCGCCGGGTCGCCCGAGTCCTGCCTGACGCCCTGGAACAGCTCCGCGTACGTCTGCAGCGTGCCGTCCGCCTTCTTGAACTGGCTGTCGTCCTCCCCGTCCAGCGCGTGCACCGGCTGGCTGAAGGAGCGCAGGAACTCCTGCGTGCCGAACGTGTCCGTAAGCGCGATGCCAAGCTTGCCGCCGAAGCACCCGACCCAGTAGCGCAGCGCCAGCTCCGTCGCGGCGCGGTAGTCGTCGTGGATGGCGGCGATGCCCATGAACCACTCGTGCGCGACGGTGCCGACGGGCGGGATGCCGAAGCGCATCGCCAGGTGGACGTTGCTCGTGCCCGTCAGCTTGCCCGGCAAGCCCTTCTTCTCGCCCTCCTTGCTCGCCTTGACGAGGCCGCGGAAGACGAGGGCCTGGGTGTGGTAGTCGCGGCGGCGGCGGGTGCCAAACTCGGAAAAGGTGCAGCCGGCCTCGAGCAGGCGCATGCCCTTGTCGAAGGCCTGCTCCTCCTGGCCCTCGTAGCTCCAGTCGGTGTCCATGAAGCGGAAGTAGGCCTCGGAGGTGAGGGCCAGCAGGGGGATCTCGTAGAGGATCGTCTCGAGCCACGCGCCCTTGATCTCGACGTGCAGGTCGCCAATGTCGGAGTCGGCGCCGGTGTCCTCGCCGACGGGGTGGAAGGTCGCGATGGCCTGCTTGCTCGGGTGCAGGCGGAACTCCTTGAGGAAGTTGACGTACTCGTCGGTCAGGTAGGTGCAGTGGGTCTTGAGGAAGCGGTACTCTTCGTCCGAGAGGGAGATGTTGCCGAGTTCTGGTGTTGCGCGTATGGTGAGTCAAATGTTGAATCGCGCATCATGAAGGAGGGGGGGGGGGAGCGAGGGGTTACTCACTTCGGATTTGCTCCTGCAGCCAGTTGAAGGCGGTTCTCGACAGCTTCTTCTCGGGTGTGCGGTTTGTGAAGGCGTAGGTGACGGGAACGTCTCTGAAGTACTTGAAGACGGCGCATTGCATCGTCAGCTTGTACAGGTCGGTATCCAGGAAGGATATGACGCCCTCGGGGAAGGGCGAGGAGCTGTTGAAATCCATGGTCGCTGGTTGTTCACAGACGTGGCGCGGGTTTGGCGTGCAGAATTATCGTTGGTCAATTCGTCGTCGCAGAGGAGATGCGACGAGGGAAAAAGTTGGAGTCTACGCGCTGTGCAATCGGAGAAGAATCTGCAGGCGAGGTCGGACTCCGGGTGTGACGAGCGGCGCGCGATCGTGACAAAGCTCGGAGGGGGTGGAGGGTGGAGGGGTGGTGAAGAGGGGGAGGGGTAGCACACGCTGCACCGACGGTTCAGTGTTTGGTTTGGCGGGAGAGGATGACGAATCGGCGGGACTCGGCAAGCCTGAGCTGGGAAAGCTGCAACCGCGAGAGAAGCTAGCCAAGGCAGTTATCCCTAGCTAAGCTTGCTGATTGATAAGGCGGCGGGCGGGTTGGCAGGGGTTGTGAAGTTTCAATGCGACTTTTAGGTGTCGCAGTTGAGATTCAGACAGCGGAATGAGGGGCGGACGGGGGCATGAATCGCCCTTTTTTTTGTGGTTGGTTTTGAGAGTTGTAAGGTATGGAGACACGCTGATGTAATTCTGAAGCTCATTGTTTTGAATGCTTTCAGTAAACCTTTCTTTACCACTTACCTTGAGAGTCTACAGTTTCGGTGAGGCAAGTCTGTGAAGAGAGATAAAACAAAGAGGTACTTCTGCATTATGACAACTGATCATTCAAATCGCGGAGATGGCCGCATTCAATGACAAGTTCGACGCTTTCCACCACCTGCATTCCAGTCATTGACACAGTCAGCCCGCAGCTCGCATCCAGAACCAAGGTAACTTACATAATGACCTAAGTTGGTGGCCGCTGCAGAAGGGGTCCAATTGGCAACCGTCAACTGGTGGAAGCCCAATGACGCGCGGCACTGTCACCTTTTGTGTTTGCAAATAGAGAGAACACTATGCGCCGTATGCTACCATGCTCAGTCCCGTTGCTGATAAGACTTAAACCAACAAACAGAAACACCCGACGGAGCCCACCACTAAAACAGCGTCCGTTTGAACGAAGAACAGCCGCAGCCATGCACGCAATCACCAAGGTACAGAGAGAATCAGCCAAGTCCCTGCTTGGCCTTACTTGGCCCTCTCACGGTCTCATCCTCTCAGATGGCCTCCCGCCGGCGGGGTGGAGGGGCACCCTGTGCACAGACCACACCTTAATTATTTTTCGTCGCTCCGAACGCCGACAAAATTTTGGCAGCCGTAATTTTTTTTATTTCTTTTTTCCCCAGACCAGCGACGAGGCAGAGCTGCGAACCCGAAAAAACATCGCCAGCCTCACAACCCCCCACGACGACGACGAACCGCTGCCTCACTCTCTACGGGCAACCCATCGCCTCGATCGAGCTCAATTGATACCCTCTTTCATTCTCGTCGCCCCGGCCCGGAGGCCAAACCACACACCACGATGGACCTCCACCGCTGCCGCTTCATCGCCTACCCTCCCTCCGCCATCAACGCCCTCGCCTTCTCCCACCCCTCCGCCCGCACGAAGCAGCACTCCGCCCTCTCCCGCCTCGCCGTCGGCCGCGCGAATGGCGACATCGAGATCTGGAACCCCCTGAACGGCGCCTGGCTCCAGGAGACCGTCCTCCGCTCCGGCGCCGACCGCTCCGTCGACGGCCTCGTCTGGGTGACCGACCCCGACGACACCCCCTCCGCCCCGGGCGCTGCCACCATCCCAGGCCGCGCGCGCCTCTTCAGCATCGGCTACACCTCCGCCGTCACCGAATGGAACCTCGAGACCGGCCGGCCCCTGCGCCACGCCTCCGGCCAGCACGGCGACATCTGGTGCCTCGCCGCCCAGCCCCCGGCCTCGCCCTCCGACCCCGTCACCCGCCTCGTCGCCGGCACCATCGACGGCGTCCTCGCCCTCTACTCCGTCGAGGACGGCGAGCTGCGCTTCCAGCGCATCCTCGTCAAGTCCCCCACCAAGAAGGTCCAGATGGTCAGCATCGCCTTCCAGTCGCGCCACACCTTCGTCGTCGGCTGCTCCGACTCCACCCTCCGCGTCTACGACATCAAGCGCGGCTCCTGCCTCAGCAAGATGACCATCGGCCCCGAGAAGGACCGCAAGGACGCCGGCGCCAGGGAGCGCGCCGACATCATCGTCTGGAGCGTCAAGACGCTGCCCTCGGGCGACATCGTGTCGGCTGATTCGGCTGGCCAGGTCTGCATCTGGGACGGCAAGACGTACACCCAGGCGCAGCGCATCCAGGGCCACCGCCAGGACGCCCTCAGCCTGGCCACCAGCGCCGACGGCTCCGCCATCATGAGCGGCGGCATGGACCGCCGCACCGTACTCTACAAGAAGACCTCCGGCAACGGCGCCAGATGGGGCAAGGTCTGGAGCAGGAAATACCACGAGCACGACGTCAAGGCCATGGCCTCGTTTGAGAGCAGGAGCGTGAGCATCGTCGTCACAGGAGGTAAGCTTCCACATTCCCATCATACATCTCAACCAAAATTACTAACTAAACCCCCAAAGGCCCTGACGCCTCCCCCGTCGTCCTCCCGCTCAAGGAACTCGGCCGCGAGAACCACAGAACCCTCCCCCACCTCCCCCAGACGCCCCCCCTCGCCAGTGCGCCCGACGCCCGCCTGCTCATCAACTGGTGGGACAACCAGGTCGAGGTCTGGAAGCTCCAAAACTCCTTCGACGGCCTCTTCGGCGACGGCGTCGCCCCCGCCGACAAGGACAAGGACCTTGACGCCAACCGCAAGCTCCTCAAAACCATCCTCGTCAACGGCGACTCCTCCATCTCCTCCGCCGCCATCACCCCCGACGGCTCCCTCTGCGCCGTCGCCACCCCGACCGCCCTCAAGGCCTTCCACCTCCGCCACGACGGCAACCCCACCAAGCCCTCCGACGTCGCCGTCTCCACCATCCCCGTCCCGGCCTCCTTCGCCTCCAACGGCGCCAGCAAGGTCATCCTCTCCCCGGACGGCGCCTGGCTCGCCGCAGTCCAGGACGGCTCCAAGGTCCTCGTCGCGCGCATAACCCGCGACGCCGACTCCGGCGCCGTGGCCATCGAGAAGCCCCGCGCCGTCGCCCGCCTCCGCCGCAACGTCCCCAAGCACCAGTCCCACGGCGGCCTCGGCAGCTACGAGAGGACCGTCGCGCACCTCGCCTTCTCCCCCGACAGCCGCATGCTCGCTGCCGCCGACCTGGCCGGCTACATCGATACCTGGGTCTTCGGCACCCCGTCCCCCCGCGCTGAAGACGACGAGGAAGATTCCGCCTCCGACAGCGACTCCGACGAGGCCGCCTCCGCCGACGCCACGGAGCGCTGGATCCGCAACCCAACCGCCTCCCTCCTCCCCAAACTCCCCGCCACCCCCGTCGTCCTCTCCTTCTCTCCAGACCTCACAACCACCGCCAGCAACACCCCAGAGTACACCCTCGCCGCCGTCACAACCGCCTGGCACATCCTCATCTTCAACCCGGCCGCCGGCTCTCTCAACGCCTGGTCGCGCCGCAACCCCGTCTCGCGCCTGCCCGCGACCATCCGCGAGACCCGCGACCTCGCCAAGGGCGCCCTTTGGCAGGGCCCGCGCGTCTGGATCTACGGCATCAACTTCCTCTTCATGCTCGACCTCTCCCAGGACCTCTCCGCCCCCGTCGCCGTCGCCGACCCGGACACCGCCGTCGTCGTCCACGCGCACGCCGCGGGCACCAAGCGCAAGCGCAAGGGCCCCGACTCCGGCGCCGGCTCCAAAATGTCCATCGGCGCCATCGTCCCCGCGCAGGTCGACCGCTTCGTCGCGGCCAAGGGCACCAAGGAGTGGCAAGACGACATCGAGTCCCGCGCCCCCGCGGACGCGATGGACGTCGACTCCGACGCGGACTCCGCCGACGACGCTGCCGCCGCGGGTTCTGACTCGGAAGAGCCCGAGTCCGGCCTCGCCACGCTCCGCGGCCGGCAGGAGGAGACCCAGGCCGAGGATGGCGCCGGCAAGACCCGCTGGTGGCACACGTACAAGTACCGTCCGATCCTGGGCATAGCGCCGCTCTCCGGCACCGGCGCCGCGGCGCTCGAGGCCGTCCTCGTCGAGCGGCCGCTGTGGGAGGTGGACCTGCCCGAGAGGTACTTTGGCGCCGACGAATGGGAGAGGTGAGGGAGTTTGTGGCTAACACGCTCTGCCCTGCCCCTCTGGCCAACCAACCAAACCCCCCCTCGGGGGCACGCATCTCAGCGGGGCGCTCATTTCCCGGGCAGCGTCATAGGCACAGCTGGGAAGACAGGACCTCCGAGGAGGAGGGAGAGGATGGAGGGAGAGCGGGGGGCCTTAGTTCGGGTTGCCGAACGAGGACGAGCCCCCAAGGCTGTAGACGCAGCAAGGCAGGTCAGGTCAGGTCAGTCGCGCAGGATGAATGGCCAGATCGAAGCCCACACAAAATCTCGGTCAACTTCGGCGCTACCCTGTCCTCCTCCTTTGGTGCGTGTTTGTCTATCTCTCACACACCCGCCTCGATGGGCTGGGCTATGCCTCTCTCCTCACCGCCAATGGGCGAACGTGAAAAAGAAAAGAAAGGAAAATCAGGCATAGGAAAACAGGAGGGAAAGATAAAGGGTCACCGTTACAATTACTCATGTTTCTTCGTTTACTTTTACGTATCTAGTTCGTCTCGTTGCTGTATCATACGGTGTCTACCAATATCCTTCTGTAGACCGAGAGACACACAGCTACAAATGTCGTCAAAATTGGTTAGTCATCATGGACAAGGGAGTTTTTCCTCACTTTGGGAGTAAATATGCAAGAAAAGAAAAAGAGTGGGAGATGTAAGAGAAAAAGAGGTACAGAGTACGAGGCATGGAAAATCCTAAAAGGAGGCCGCGTAGTCTTGCGGTCTTGGCGGTGAAAGGGGTGCAGGGCCAGAAGGATTTGTGTGCTTGGCTCCATCAGCCTGCTTGCTGTGTGGGTGGCCCGACCAACCCCCCCGTATGATCTCATGTGCGTCTGTTAGTCGTTCTCATAGATATCAGGGTAATGGC